TCCTGGTCTGGTCGTATGTGGAATGTGCATGTGAGATTATATGCTTGTAATTACACCCACGATACAGAAGAAAATCCTAGTATGAATCGAAGTGTTTAAAAATATATATATATATATCAAACCTTGATACTCAGTCCATCGCCTAGAGCGATTGGTTGTCATATCATTACAAAAAAGATAATCTATGGTCAATCAAATTATTATGAAATAGACATTTAAAACTTGTGACCTAAATGTGTGCATGCAATTATGATCCTTTAGGTGGTAAACATTTTCTGACCGCGACCGTATTTCATGAATCATTGACAAATTTTCAAAGAGTAGACATTCTTTGTTTTATATATATTTGTTTATATCTGTACTAATCTTAATATATATAAATTACGCGTCACGTTTTTGTCCGGGATGGACTCCTATACTACTTAACCAATTTTAATCAAATTTTCACACCGTGTGCAGTTTGATCCTATTTGAAAGATAGGATAGCTTACATCTCAATTTATAGTCGCAATATTATTTTATTCCAAATTAAATATAACATGTTTCAACGGGTTATATGCACTGATTTTATTTATTGACATTTCGTATCCTTTGCAGGAATGCGTCGTCAGAATGTTTTTTTTTTTAATTCCAAATTATTACTTTTGGGCGCTACGAAGTACGCCGAGTCAGCTAGTATATTATTATAAATGCGAAAGTGTGTCTGTATGTTTCATTCACAACATTCACAAACATTCACGCCTAAACTGCTGAACCGATTTAGATGAAATTATGGTTTCTATTATACGTAGATATACTCATCATTAAAGTCTTATAGTTGTGAACTTAGTTATGAACGATTTCTACTATTGCAAAATATTTGTACTAACAAACAGTCGAAATTTTAAATTTTTGAAGTCAGCCAATATTATTTTCGAGAACAGCAATGAAGGCACTAGTTGCTATTATAAAGAAAAATAATAAAAATGGAATTAAAAGTTATTGTTAGATCTTGTATTTATGGTACGAAACACTTCGAGTCTGAGTATGACACGGTCTTGGTTGATTTTTAAGTTATCGTCTTATCGACTAAATGATTGCCATGACGAATAATCGACATTCTACGTCTGATACTGATGCGATAAGCCTACTGATAGGATCTAGAATGAATAATCTGAAAGAGCTATTAAAATATATATATATATAGCTACTATGATTCATTATTTTAATATAGAAGTTATGTTTATAATATTAAATATTGCAGTTCCCGGCGAAAGCACTATGAATATTGAAGATAGGATATTATTAAATTTTTAATCAGAAGAAGAACTGCATTCACAGGTTTTTTTAACAAACTCGTGAAATGTTAAACAAAATAACACACGTATTTTATGATAACCGTCGAAAGGGTTAATCATAAGGATTATTTTTTCCTAAATAACATACTTATTTAATATACTTGCTTTCCCTCCGTGTAGCATGGCCGTGGGACGCTCTGTATAATATTTATTTTATTAATGGATTCCCGCGGCTTAGTTCAGGTAGAAAAAATATTTTTTATTTAAAAAAACATTTAAGTAAATAAAAAATTGCGCAAATCGAATATTCACACTTTGTAGTTCGTCTTCTCATCTTTGATGATGTGGCAGCTTCAAAGAAATTGAAAAATTATGTACCTAAATATTGTGCTAATTCACTTTATCCATATATATAAAATAAATGTGTGGTGCAAAAAAAAATATTATTAATAACCCTCCGAGGTACTTAGACGAGTTCTTTTAAGGATTTTGTACAAGGATTTTCAATGGAAATATTGCATGTTTCATTACTATATCCTTGACTGTCAAATTGTCATGTTTATTCAACTCCTGTATCTCACAAAAAAAAGGTCTACGACGAGAAAAATAGATTGTTGACGATTCGTGCGGTGCATTGCACGCAATGTCCTCGTAACCCTAACAATTTCTTAATCTAAATGGATAAAATAGATTTCAGACTGACCGGTGCGTTCAACAGAAAAGCGTCATAACGACCACTTCCACTAGATCTCCCCTTTCTTATTTCTTCTTCGGTTTCAGGGTTCATGAAATGGTGGTGGCACGAAATAGGTCGCGCTTGGTAAATATCTAGTGACCTATATACGGATATTTCCCTGTGTTATTTGCGGTATGTTAACAGAGTTTCCGTGGGTAAATATACACCGATCATTATGTCATACAACCGCGATAAAAATTCGGAAGCAAGATTTAAAGTTTAAGATGAAGTAACGTATACTATATACAAATTATTATCAGCTTATTGCCTAATGTCCCCTTTTCTTCGGGAAACTTTCAAATGATCCTCAGAAAAATATTATTGATCACCTAAAATTCATCATCATTATCGTCAGCCTGCTAAGGCACAGGCCTTCCCTATGGATGGAATGGCAGATTGGGCCATGAGTTACCATGCTGCCCCAGTGCGGATAGGTGGGCACTAACGACTGCAGATGCAGACGGGACCAACGGCTTAACGTGCCTTCCGAAGTATAGAGAAACTCGAGATAGTAAATTTTTAGTCACCCATCCAATGACCGACCACTGCGGAAGTTGCTTAACTTCAACAATCGCAGCCGAACCATCGAGCTCCTCACCATCACCTAAAAATACAAATGGTATATCTAAAGGTTAGGTTAGTAGCTTACCAAATTATTGTTTTCTTTTTTGGGAATCAATTACTATATTTTTTATGTTATTTTTAATATTCCCTTTTCTGTTGTACCTTGGTTTTTCCTTTACTCGACATTTACAACTGCAGAAATTAATTCGAAGATAATAAAATTTTGGCTATTCTAGAATGACGGTTTTTTATTTCATACACGCGAATCGTATTTTTTTTGATCTACAATTCTATAAACAGTCGGCATTATCTTTGCCAAAATCTTAAATAAGAATCACTGAACACAAGTCACATTATCTTAAAGGCTTTTGGAAACCTATTTTGGATGGATGTGTTAAAACATAAACCGTTGGCCGAGGCAATTATTATCTCCATAGCTCACAGTGAAATCGCGATTATGTGAAAGCTAGCTTGTCTAAGGGCTGATGGCTGATTTCAATGTTAAATCGAATGGAATGATACGTACCCGACAGAACGCACAAAGAACCGCTTTCACTGCTATGAACGTTAATCGACGCAGACAAAGCGACTATTCAAGGCTCACATGCGAAATGCAAAAACGTATCTTCAATTCTACAACGTCTGAGTCTTTAATAGGGATGATGACTAACTTTTTTTCCTTCGTCTATCCGGTAGATTATCAAAAAGTATTGGATAGGTATTTTTTCTTTATTCAAATAATCAAAACATTGCAGAGAAACATTGATTTGAAATGTCGCATGACGTTACGTCTTGGTACAATGTTTACTAAAGGGACTCCTTTTAATAATGTATTTTAGTTATTATATTTTATTTTTTAAGGTTTTTAGTTTTAGGTTCATTGTTATAGTATATTTTTTGTTTAAATTATTCTTAAATTTGTTCATATAAATTGTCATGTTTATGTACGGTAGCAAAACCATTACAATGTCATTTTTTTACTTGTCACTTAATTACAATTATATAATCATCATTTATATGATTTTTTTTATGTTTACTTAGAAGTGACGTCACAAGCTCACACTCTCAAACCTTGCCGAATATTTTGGTTGATTGATAAAAGAACTGTCTATCTATGATTTTTAGATAATCTTACTGACGGAATAAACAGATTTTTTTTTATTTACCCCGTCATCACCCTTGTTAGGTTCTTATTAGTTTTATTTGAAAGTTTGGTGATTATAGTAAGTACGATTAATGTATTTTTAATCGACTTCAAAAAAGGAAGAAATTTGAAGGTTTCCCTCGATTTCTCCGGATTCCACCATCATCAGATCCTGACTCGGTTACAATGTATGATTCGGTTACCTCTTCGTGTCATGACGTCGCGAAGAAAGTAGCGTTGCTGTTAGATTTCCGCATGTCTATGAGTGTTTGTGCGACGCAATCATTGTATCACAGTTTCTGCCTGATATTGTTATAAAATTTAACGCTTTCTGTAATAATGATTATGGTCTAAATCGGATCAAATATAAGTGGCCCTTTCTTTGTGGACCTACAATTGCCGATGTTATAGTTTTAGCACATATTCACATAAAAATGGCCTATATATAAAGATACCATGGTTCCTTACTACAAGCTTTTAACACCTTTGTTGTTTGAGTGCGTGGGATGTGTTGTGCTTTAATTTTATAGTTGGATCCGTCTCTTGTTGTTATTGCATCGAATAGCAAGATGCTTTAGGATCTTTCTTACAATGTAACATTATTTATATTTCTCATTTGAAATTACATTTATATTCTTTTCGCTTCCTATCAATGTATCTATCCATTCAGCACATTTTTATTGGAAGATGTGTGTCTAAATTTTGAAAAAGTCTGTCAAATTTTCTTTTAAATCTCTTTTACAACCAACCAAACAAGTAATGTCTTATCTTGCAAAATACACCGCCTTCGTACTATTGAATGCGCAACCGCCACTTCCTCTATATCTTTATCTTCATTCAAGACTGTCTATTGCGATTATTTATGGGTCATTCAATAAAATAGCAGCGAGTGAGTGCAATCTTGCAAGATTAAGCCAATGCTTGCAACAATGCTTGTGTCAGAATGGACAAGAATTGACTAAGTAGAATGGAAATAAATGCCAGCTATTATTCGGTTTGTATTTCACGGACTTGATGTGACGCCCGATACATTAGTATGCAGACCAGTCTTTCCCAGTGGGCACTTTGGGCAAGTGCCCAGGGCCCCGCGATCGATAGGGGCCCACTTCAGATCATATCCCAAAGTCAACGTCAAACAAAGTCCCTAGTTCCTGTTAGATCACCAAACGGAGGTCATAGTGGCCCCATTATCCTAATATGCCCAGGGCCTTCAATAGGTCAAAGACGGCACTGTTAGTAGTCTTAGTTCATAATGATGATAGTCATATTTTACTTTCAGGTCAGAGGGCGAAGATGGCGAGAAAACGAGTGAATCTGGAAATAGGATACCACCCCATTGTCATATCACAATCAAATGTACACGAGAGGTAAGTTTTGAATTTTCTTTTTCATATTGTTGTACTTTTTGATAACGTTGTGAAAAATATCGCTATTACGTGAAGTAAACTACTTATAGAAATCTGTCTCTCACAGTATTATGTAAACGTTGTTTTTTCTCACTAAGTAAATGAATGCTGAAGGGAATGGACATGATGCGTTGAAAATCTAATGGGTTTAGTCTAGGATTGGCCGATTCGTGGAATGACTACATGGTCTATAGTTGACCAATTCTTGGAATGTACAATTCTATAAATGTCTGTTGACTGATTCTACAATAGAGTTATCTACAAAAGACCGTTTCTACCGTTGCCCGATTCTACAAAAGACTGATTTTTGAATTTTATGAACAGTAAGTACTTGATTAGGCATATGGTAAATGAAATGCAATGTAAGGATTGGCAAACCATTTTTTTCCAACTGCTTTAATTTTTAATTGACGACATGTTACACACAACCAAGCTTAGGAAATCGTGATATTGTATTGTTTGAAAAAAAAAAGTATTAAATAAACTTCACAATATACAACTACAAATCCTAAGTGAATTTTGTTTGTATTTAATTGTTTATTGCTACAAAATGTAGTAAGAGATATTTTGATATGAGAACATGATATTATTATTGTTTGTATCATTATGTTAATGTTTGTTTTTTGACCAGAAACTGAATAAATGTTTATTATTTTAATATACAATATTTCAAGAATTGGTCAATTATAGACGATGTAGTCATTTCGCGAATAAACTTCAAAATATACAACTACAAATCCTAAGTGAATTTTGTTTGTATTTAATTGTTTATTGCTACAAAATGTAGTAAGAGATATTTTGATATGAGAACATGATATTATTATTGTTTGTATCATTATGTTAATGTTTGTTTTTTGACCAGAAACTGAATAAATGTTTATTATTTTAATATACAATATTTCAAGAATTGGTCAATTATAGACGATGTAGTCATTTCGCGAATAAACTTCAAAATATACAACTACATATCCTAAGTGAATTTTGTTTGTATTTAATTGTTTATTGCTACAAAATGTAGTAAGAGATATTTTAATATGAGAACATGATATTATTATTGTTTGTATCATTATGTTAATGTTTGTTTTTTGACCAGAAACTGAATAAATGTTTATTATTTTAATATACAATATTTCAAGAATTGGTCAATTATAGACGATGTAGTCATTTCGCGAATAAACTTCAAAATATACAACTACAAATCCTAAGTGAATTTTGTTTGTTTTTAATTGTTTATTGCTACAAAATGTAGTAAGAGATATTTTGATATGAGAACATAATATTATTATTGTTTGTATCATTATGTTAATGTTTGTTTTTTGACCAGAAACTGAATAAATGTTTATTATTTTAATATACAATATTTCAAGAATTGGTCAATTATAGACGATGTAGTCATTTCGCGAATAGGTCATTTCTAGACTAAACGATCTTATGTAATTGTTAACCTTAGCTCTAAATACGTATTTAGATTCTGATCGTAACGAGTTAGAGTAAGCGCACATTGAGCCACTAATGGCTCAGACAAGCCACCGATCGCTTATTTTGCGCCGATTCTATACAAAATGTATGAAAAACTCGACCGCCGCTTGTGGATTTGTTTTGTGGGTGCCACTAGGGGCTCAGTGTGCGCTTGCTCCCAGAGTAGCTACAAGGAAGAGGTTAAATGGTATTCTACAAAGATTGCAGGGTTCAACGGGCTGTCGGAAGCAGTCCGTCGGTTGGACTTCTCATCGGCCGTCCGTGACGTGCGACGGTTCAACTACATATGCGCACTGCTCGAGCTGCTGCTGGGCGGGCAGAAGCTGACCCACCTGCCCGGTGCGGCACAGAAGCTGCTACTCTCCATGTTGGAGCAGCTCGCAGACCAAGGTCTGTTATTTTGATGAATAGGAAAAAACTATATACTGATGTGTAACATCTTTCCTCTCGCTTTCCTGCAATTTGAGGGAGTGATTTCGTGAAATGGGACGGAAGTGTGTAACAGGAAGTCACGAAAGCGCGCGCCATTTGATTTGATTTTAGAACATAATGTTCAAATGGCTTATTCCTCTTGTAGTAGGTTTTATTTCTTTTTTTACTAATATATAAGGTGAGGTTTCAAATGTTACACATCATACGCGACTACTGTAAGGCTCGCTCGTTTTTTCTTTTAAATTTTCATGCTCACTAACATTATAGTTTTTAACGGGATTGCTACCATGAACTTTGATTTTTGTGAGTTTCCGATATCGTATGTGCAAAAACCATGATTAAAAAAAAACTCGTGTCGAGCACAGTTTCGAATGAATAGTGAGAATATGGACAGGTACCATGGGTATCGAACGTAAAAAAAGGTAGACCGATGTCTGTCAGTAACATCCTACCCACAATTACTACAGTTACTCCGTGATCATGGCGCTTGCAATAGTGCCGAAATATGGGAGACACAAAAAACTAGCTATGGTAGCAATCCCGCTGATAACTATAAAGGAAAGAACTAGGATTTGTGTGGTTAAACTATCAGGAAATGTAGTTCAGAGGATAGTGCTCAGTGTATTTAACACTTTTTACTGCAGTGCAGCAAAGAACAGTAATAATTAATATTTAAGAATGTCAGAGCAGTTTCACGTAATCAGGGCACAGCAAATTAAGATGAAAGTAGCAAGCACAACACACGTCTGCTGGCACACATTTAAGCATGGATTCTACCACACTCTACTTAAACAAAGAAAAACCTTTATTTGAACTTCTTAGGAATTGTCTTAAGATTTTGTGTTCCTGCTAAGCTTTTCTAACTTGCGATTATTTATCACTGCCGAGTTTGAACTTTCATTGTCACTAACATTATAGTAATATATGTTATTCACGGGATTGTTACCCGTTACTCTGTGATCATGGCGCTTGCAACAGTGCCGAAATATCGGAAACTCGCTAAAAACAAGGTACATGGTAACAATCCCGTGAATAACATATATTACTATAATGCCGAGTTTGAGTTACACAGTTTATTGCTATATTCAAGTTTATTACCAATGACGGTTTTCTGGGTGCCAGATGGTAAGCACTTAGACGAAAGGTTTCGCATGTATTCATAGTCTATGGATCAATTTAAATGCTGCTTTGATTAAATCGCGCCTAAAACTTCATACAAAAGAATTAGACCTTAATTCACAGTGGTGCCGACTAGTGATTTTCTGAACACCCTCAAGGCGCAATTACACTTGGCCATTAGCCCGTATTCGGGTGCACGAAACACATTACTCAATTTCGGGCACCCAATACAATAGTTACGACACTGCGCCCGCGTTCTATGTAGTTGGAACGTACCTAACTGATGCCAGATTGGGGGGCACCAAACTTAGATTAAAACAAAAAGGGTAGATACGGTACGCTCATACTTGCATCAAACAAAAACTGATCCCACGGCAGCGCGAACGGGACGGCGAGATCCGCGTCACTGCATTACCGACCCGAGCGAAACAGCACGTTAAGTTTCAACGGCAGCGCGAACGAGATGGCGAGATCCGCGTCACTGCACTACCGACCAATCACGCGACCAGTACTCGACGTCACTACCGAATAAAATTTAAAACAAACAACAATTTTTATGAAAAAAAATATTTTATAGTACTTACGAATGAAAAGTGATGCCGTGGGTTTTATTTTTAGTTCTTGAGTAATTTGAGCACTTTTTAATAACATACTTAGGCATTGTTGTATCATATAAACACAAAGTATTAAAATATTTCTTTTTGGCGTTCACATGTACGTCGTTTGCATGTCAAGTTGTGACTAAAGCGATTAGGGTCGTGGACCACAATTTGTGCGGATCACTTTTGTGAGGCTAGTGCCGTATTATTCTAAGAGCCAGTGATCCGCAGACTTACGGTATAGTAGCAAACTTCATATTAATGCTAGTTATACTAATTCATCTGCCGTAGATCAAATGTTGGTTCACTATTCCCATAGAGGGTTCCTTTAGGCGTGCCGAGAACTTCTCGGTATTAAGTATTAAAGTCCGCAATTTTGATGGAAGCAGTTTACCACCGTGCAAGAGCGAGCTGTGGCAACATTTCCTACGAACAATATATATATCAAATATTTGGAATAATGCTGATAAACGATGCCCGTCAACATTACATCCAGAAGAATATGGATGGATTAATCATCAAGACAAATATTTATTCAAATGATTTGATGGAGTTCAGCTGCCAGGTTTAGTAGCCGATTCACTCCAATGTCCATCAGGTAATTCAATGAAATACAATAAAATATCCTGTTACTATTAATAGAGTCGCATTTGCCATGATGTATAATGTTTTATTTTTTACAGAATGTAGTATCTCTGATGACGAAGGCGATGAAAATTTCAAAAACTTGGAAGATTTGGAGTGCTGTATCGAGTCATCGGAAATCTGCAGTTCTGACGAAGAACAGTGAAATATTTTGATTTTTTTGTAGCCAATATTAATTTTGTTTATTCTGTATTTGAATTAAGAGTTGTTCGTTGTGCTAAAACAAAATAAATAGCAAAATTATAGTAAGTGAAAAAAAATTATTGGTTTCGCAATAAAAACTATATTTATGATTGAAAATAAGAGTTCTAAATTATAAAATTAACAAAACACTGTTCACATGTATTCATACTGATTCGCTGTCATTGCCAGTAAGAGTGAGAAAGTCAATATCGTATATCTCCATTAGCATGACTGCGAAACTGTTATGTAGTCTGCCTGCATTTTAGAACCGACCTATCTGTCTGGCTTTTTAGATATACATGTATAATAATAATATAAATAACATATATAATTTTTAGCTTTGCTAAAATAACGTAAATTTTATGAAATTTTGGAAACTATGATATATTATAAAATATAGTAGGAACCGCAACAAGTGTCTGCCATTAAGTTTTTCTATATAAAAAAATAAATATTTTAAGATATGAAAACGGCAGACATGCTGCGATCACGTTTTTGAAAGTCGATTTTCATGCTTTTCGACTCCTCGGCACGCCTAAAGGAACCCTCTATGGGAATAGTGAACCAACATTTGATCTACGGCAGATGAATTAGTATAACTAGCATTAATATGAAGTTTGCTACTATACCGTAAGTCTGCGGATCACTGGCTCTCAGTCTATATCTACCCTTTTTGTTTTATTCTAAGGCACCAAAACGAATACGGGCATACTAGACTCCGTTTATTTACACTTAATCGTTTGTCCGAATTCCATAGGCAATAGTATTCGAGCTAACGACCAAGAGTATTTGCACCATCATTAGTCTTTGTCTTTATCAATGATCTTCTTTAACCTCGTATCAGTGGCCACATCGAAGCAAAACTTGAACGCACTGAGGGCCTTAGTGGTAGCGTTGTCGGCGCTACGAGATGCCGAGCGGCGCGCGTGCTGGGGAAGACCCCTGGGGTCCCGCGCCCTGTGGGGCCACCACGACGACGCTATCGACAGGATCAACCGGATAGCCAACAGTATTAATATACAGGAGGTAATGAGACTTACAGCATCAACCCTATAGCCACCAACATTAGCGTTTAGACTAGGTTAGGAGAAAACTTTTAATCATATTCATGGTGATATATAAGCAGAGCTTGGCCGCTGGGGTCCCGCACGCTGTGGGGCCAACACGACGACGCTATCGACAGGATCAACCGGATAGCCAACAGTATTAATATACAGGAGGTAATGAGACTTACAGTATTAATCATATAGCCACCAACATTAGCATTTAGACTAGGTTAGGAGACAACTTTTTATCATATTCGTGGTGATATATAAGCAGAGCTTGGCCGCTGGGGTCCCGCACGCTGTGGGGCCACCACGACGACGTTATCGACAGGATCAACCGGATAGCCAACAGTATTAATATGCAGGAGGTAATGAGACTTACAGTATCAACCCTATAGCCAACAACATCAGTATACAGGAGGTGAGAAAACTTACAGGATCAACCTGATAGCCAACAGCATCATTATACAGGGGGTTAGGAGACTAACAGGATCAACCAGATAGCTAACAGCATCAGTATACAGGAGGCTAGGAGACTAACAGGATCAACCAGATAGCCAACAGCATCAGTATACAGGAGGATAGGAGACTTACAGGATCTACTGGATAACCAACAGCAGCAGTACACAGGAGATTAGGAGACAACTAGTCGTCATATCCGTGGCGATATAGAAACAAAACTTGAACGCTCTGAAAACATTTGTTTCATCAGCAGCCAGCCTATTAATGTCCCCACTGCTGGGGCACAGGCCTTCCCCATGGATGGAATAGGGAGATTGGGCCATGACCCACCACGCGGGCCCAGTGCGGATTGGTGGGTGCTAACGACTGCAGATGCAGCCGGGACCAACGGCTTAACGTGCCTTCCGAAGCACGGAGGAGCTCGAGATAGTAAATTTTTGGTCACCCATTCAATGACCGACCACTGCGAAAGTTGCTTAAGTTCAACGATCGCAGCCGAACGTGCTAACCACTTGCGCCATCGAGCTGCTCATTTGTTTAGTATACAATAAGTCAGCAGACCTTTTGACTTCTGTAACTGCTCAGCATCAGTATACAGGAGGCAGGAACTTGTAGTAAAGCTTAGCAGAATTTAAGAGCTGATTCCTGTTTCTCCCTTTAGGCTAAATGTTATCAAATTTAGTAGTGATTTTGTTATGATCCAATAAGTTACTTAATGCTCTTAACATTTTGATTACCCATAAACTGGCCCAACAAAGATTTTCGTCTGTGATTCGATAAAGATACCGAACCAAAATTTTTAAATTGATTTCTATAAAAGATTTACATCTTGTAGCCCTATTTATTTTCATCAACAAACATTAATTTAATGTTATTTTTATTACAGCCCGGTCCAGAAGTAGTGCCTAAACTTCACGATTTGCCTGAAGAATGTATAAGAGAGATTTTACTTAGGATATCGGATCACAGGGATTTAGATGTAAGTCTAAGTCTAGTCTAGTCTTTTATTATTTGTTATATTTAATGTAACAATCATTAGAGTTTATTTTAATTTGTGTTCTTTAAGAAACATATTTTTTTTCTACGATTTTTGCGAGGTAGTTTACCGTAACTAATGATTTTAGAAAAGTAAACGTTTCTACACTGTGAAAGCAATTCAAATAAAATACTCGTCTTGCACAAATCACTTTTATTCTGCTCTTCACTTAGTACACTATTTTCTAAGCTTCCTTTGTACACCAAGAACTCGAACCGAATGACCGACCGCGTGACTTGCCAGTTGTTTTATATTTTTCACTCTTTTGTCAAATCAGCAATGGTACAAATACCAACCAAGCCTATGGTCCTCTGAACAAAACTGACAAACAATCTTTGATATGTGCATAGACTTGATTTTATTCATAGGCAGTTTGTTGCTTTGATGTTTATTTATACTTTTAGAGCCAGCCTCTAAAAACTCTATGGCACGATAACGATTTTTCAAAAACTCTTCAAATTGCTTATAGGTAGGTAGCTCAGAAGAACTATTATCAGTGGCAAAAAATTCCCATTGTCGTCGAGATTCCAAATCTAACTTTAAAGTTATAATATGAATTACGAGCACATCCCAAGTATCTGTATTTATACCTATATTTTTCAATGACGACAAACAATCATTCGTTGTATCCAATAATTCCTTCAAACTACTAGCAGATTCACAAACAATATTCCTTTGTGATAACAATTTTTTCAAAATATGATGACAAATGTATTTTTTATTATTGTACCTTTCTTCGAGTAATTGCCAACACCTTTTATAATTACTTTCTGTGATCGAAATATTATTTACAAGCTGTTCAGCCTCTCCCTGTAAATATCCTTTCAAGTATAGTAATTTTTGGACATTCCCTAATGCTTTGTTATTATGAATCAAAGAACAGAATAAATCACGGAAGGTATTCCACTCAGAATACCTCCCTGAAAAATTTGGAATATTCACTTTAGGTAGCTTAACTTGTGATAAGTTTGAACTAGCCGAGCCTGTACACTCATTTTCTCATTACTTTCTTTACATGTCAGCGTGGACAGGATGGACTTAAGGTCCATTTTATATTCAAAATACATTTCCTCTGCCTTTTCATAAACATCATTTTTTACATATGTTGTATCGGCTAATTCACCCGACGACGATACAGAACGCATCAATTCCTTATGTCCAGCTGAGAACTCAAACCACATTTGTTCTAAAAGTTCTATTTTGCCGTCTACATAGTCTTTATTAATTCGACATTTAGGACTCTTTTTGAAATTACTTTTTGCCTTAGTGAGCCGCGTATAGAGATCTCCTTGAGAATGAATTAATTTCTCCATTTTTTTTTATCAAGTTAAATTATCAATTTTTCATAAACAGAAACAATCATTAATAATAATAGTAACTTAGTTCCAGCTCACAAACAAACAACATTAATAAGGGAAAAATTCTAAAAAATTTCTAAGAAGTTGACGTAACATTAAACTCTGACCGAAATCGGGCATAGGTTCCCCGTGCCTTCGCTTTTCTTAAAACTATTCTAAGTTCCTAAATCTACAACACAAATTTTTCTAAGTCCATAATAACACAAAAAGGCAAATAAGCAACTTACAACCAAGTTCATACTACCCAATTACATTAATTGACAGCAATATTTACATCGATTGCTACAATTGTCTCAAATTTTGTTTAAGGTAGCTGGAAGGTATATTGGTTCCTTATGACGTCGTTTTCTTTGTTAAAATATTGACTTCCTTTGTTCTTTGGTTGATTACCTCGTTTGATATTATATAGCCCGGAAATAGTTATTTATGATTTTAGGGCGGTAAGTTGGTTATTGCAAACGAGTGAACGAATGTAAGCCCGAGACGAAGCTGAGGGCGTACCATAGTCACGAGTTTGTAAATACCAATTCCTCAAAAATGTCTTACGTTTTTCAACACATTTGCAAGAAAACAATAGGAATTTAAGTAATGTAGCAAACTTTTTCTAATATTCAAATGGCGCGCATTTACAAATGACGCGGAAGGTGAAAATTAGAATTACATCTTTCGTCTCTTTTTCTTTTTAAAATCTTTTATTTAACTTGCAATGTATTAGTGTTAAAGTGAACAGCCAAGGATGTTCGACCGAAATAAAAAAAAACGTAAAGGATACGCTCGACGCCATGTATGGTGCGGTAAAACGTATTACCGCACGCTCACTTGTATGGCCCGTAATTTTGAACTTCCGAACAATGTATACAACTTGCGTAGTTGTAAGTTTTATCAAAACAGTAACTTAGTCAAAAATAGTAGATAGATCTTCAAATTATTGATAAACTAGTCTTTATATTTTATTTCTAAGAACACTTTAAACCTAATGCTGTTACAAGGCGACAAAATGTAGCTCTCTTGGATTTTTTGTAATTTTCTCACTATTTTTATGTCTAATTTCTAAGTCTGACCGGACTTATATGTACATAGGTACGTGAAACCGCCTTATTCCCAGTGGCGTAGCATGGGGGGGGGGGGGGTGCGGTCCGCACCGGGCGGCACTTTGCCGGGGGCGGCGCTGCGGAGGTGGCAGATAGAGAAAAAAAATTAAAATATAAAAAAAAAAGTTAATTTCTTTCAGTTTTTTTTCGTCATTTTTTTGTTGTTGTTACCAAATACCCAGGTACCTATGCAGGTTCTATGCATGGGTGATGCAAGCGCAAGGTTTTCTCTGTAATTTTTCTAAGTGATATTGTGATAGTCTACCTTCTACTCTATGTCAAAAAATGTTAATTTCACTCTACCTCTCTACCTCTACTTACCATGCCTCAATTTTTTTTATAATGGATTGCAAAAATAAGAGGGCGGCAAATTTGGAATCCGCACCGGGTGCTAGTGACCTATGCTACGCCACTGCTTATTCCAAAACGCTCTATCTTTTTTTGGCAAATAAAAATGACAGCTTCAGTTTTAGTTCACGTACAACTTTGTCTAAGTCTATACATATAATAAAATGGTAGGAAAGTCAAAACTATACATTGTTTTCTTTTTAAAAAAAAGAATACTTGGGGTGTGATCTACAATCGATACCGAAGCCAAAAATATAGTTTTTAGAATTTTTGTCTGTTTATCTGTATGTATGACCGGGATAAACTCATAATGTACTGCATGGATTTACTTCAAATTTGGCACGAATATTACTAAGAAGTCGGGTCAACTTATAGGCTACTTATTCCAATGCTATCACCTACGGGGAACGAGAAGTGAACCTTTATTTCTAGGCTTCCCCGCGCGATCTTAGTAGTGAGCGGACGTGTTCGCAGTTAAAAGTGCACAATTTTAATAAAAGTAAAACAAAAAGAAAAGGACGACAGTCTAATCAGCAAGGTATCTTCCTTACACATCAACGGCGATTCAGCAAGTTACGCCCAACAAAAAGGAGACAACTATCGTTCCAGTACATACATCCTGCTCTTACTTAAGCAAACGAGATGTCGACACAGAGGACCCCACCACAGACCCCATTAGTCGCCGCTACTGCAATGCTTACTAGATCAGAGTCAGACCGCAATATCAGTGCGTCGACGCGAGCCGAGTCAGCGGATGCATTGAATGTAATACATAGGTACAAACGATCCAGGTGCGAAACAGACTTTGACTTGGATGTTATGACGGAGATGCGTAAGTTATTTAGTGAACTCAAAACTCAACAAGACAAAAAATTTGAGGCGCTCCAGACAACCGTGTCTACTATTTCCAAGCAAAATGAAGAAATTAGTGCATCGGCTATTTTAATATCGCAGCTTTACGACGACATGAAGGTAAAATTAGACACATTGGAAAGGGAACGAAACACACATTTAGCGTACATACAATCATTAGAGGAAAGAATCGATAGCCTTGAAAACCGCAACAGGCGTTCTTGTATCGAGTTTCGTAATATTCCTTCAAACAAAACAGAGACCAAGGACGATTTTACTAAAATGGTGGTAGAAACGGGAAAAGTGATACAAGTACCTATACAAACGTCCGATATTCGCGACGCCTACCGCACGTACACCAAATCATACCAAGGGCCAATTGTTATTGACTTTGTTAATGTTATTTTGAAGGAAAAGTTCCTGTCTTCGGTAAAAAAATACAACACAGAAAATAAAAGTCGACTAAATACCACAGTTTTGCAATTCGATGGGCCGTCAAAACCAATATTTATATCTGAAAGTTTGTCATTAAAAATCAAAAAAATATTTTATATGGCGCGGGACTTTGCCAAGGCCCATGATTACCGTTATTGCTGGTCATCCCATGGTAAAGTTTATCTCAGGAAAAAAGAAGGTAGTCCCTTACACCGCATTGACTGCGAAGCGCATCTATCGCAACTTATAGAAAATGACAAGTGACTGGTGCATTTAGTTAAGTTTTATAGCATATTTTTTATTTCATTTTATAGTTATATTCGTATTGATTTAAGTTTTGGTTTTTCTTATAATTTTTCTAACTTAAATTTTTATATAATCTTGAACAATAAATTAATATATCCTTTGAAACACAACTATAAGACAAAAAATAGATACACACGTAATTCACCCAATAACACACAAATACAGTCACATTCTAAGTGCAGTTACATTTCAAAATTACTTTTCGGTAATTGTTACATTTTAAAATTACATTTCGGTAATTGTTTGCGTAGCTCAATAATATTACTTCAAAATAACCTAGGTAAAAACACCTCTTTGTGTTCAGTGGACAAGTTGATATCTGGTATTAAAATACAATATAGGTATTATGGTATTGTGCCATTATATTATTATAACAAATGCATTCTTAGTTATAATTATTTACACAAATGGATAGTTTAAGACAAACTATTGACGATTTAGACAGCTTTGATGTTGGTAAATCGTTTATTTGTACACCAGAACAATGTTCTTCGTATATTAGTTCAAAGGTCAAGAACTTAACAGTGTTTCATGTTAATATTCGAAGCATCCTGTGCAACTTTGATGAACTAAGTATATTATTAAACAGAATAAAACTGAAATTCGACATAATTATTTTAACAGAGTGCTGGCTTAGCAAAGTTAACTTGTTACCTGTAATCGATGGCTACACCTCTTATGTATCTAAATTCTCAAATCAAAATGAAGGAGTAGTGATATACGTCAGGCACGAATCGAATTGTACAGTTACGGAACCAGAGTTTAGAGAGGGCAACTGTCTCATTTTAACCCAAGGTCTTCATTTTGCCTTAGTCGCAATTTACCGTTCACCGTCATATAAACCTACTGACTGCTTTTTTGGTAGTTTAGACGAGGTTCTGGGAACACTTTCGTTGTATCCAAACGTAGTACTAATCGGAGATATAAACATAAACATTGGCACTGAAAGTAAAGACCAGTATTCTGACGAATACCTAAATGTAACTGCCTCGCAGGGGTTATTACCGGCTCATGTGTTTCCAACGCGTAACACTAGCTGTCTGGACCATGTATTTCTTAGAAGTGACTGGCCTGCTACTACTTTGGTACTGAATTCATTGATCACTGATCATTTGCCATTGATGGTTAATTTTGTTTTGTCTAAGGATAAAAGCAAACCTCGGACTACATTATACCAAACAGACTATTCTGCCGTAAAACAAGAACTAATAAATGCCGATTACTCATCAATTTACTTAACAAATGATGCAAATAGTGCAGCAAACAACTTAATCTCTAAAATATCCACTGCCGTCCAAAATAATACAAAAGAGAAAAACTTGTCAAAAAAGAACGTTACGCTAAAGCCTTGGATGACGCCTGGCCTCCTGAGATGTATACGAAATCGAGACAAACTCCATTTAGAAACAAAACAAAATCCAAACAACATGATTCTTAAAATAACATATAACAGGTACAGAAATTTTTGTGTAAATTTACTAAAGAAAATAAAAAAGAAATACGAGGAAACAGAGTTTCATGAGGCCAGACGTGATCCAAGGCGAACGTGGAATATTATTAAGAATATAGGGTATTTAAAAACTGATCGGTCTAAATCAACGGAATTATTAAAGATGGCATCAGACTCAGTGACTTCATTGAACAAAGTTAATGCGTTCTATGCAAATATTGGTAGTGAACTTGCTAGTAAAATTATTACTCCTTGTGGTAGTTCTGACACAGACTCATTTCAAGTAAGTGATTCTATGGTACTAACTAAAACAGATGAAACCGAACTCCTTTCGGTAATTATGGGACTTCGTGATAATTGTGCAGTGGGATGGGACGGAATCCCAGCAAGAGTATTAAAAGAAGCCGCGGAAGCTATTGTTCCTCCACTGACCCATCTTTGCAATTTATGTCTAGATAGTGGTGTTTTCCCTAACTCGTTCAAAATAGCTCTAATACATCCTATATACAAGGGTGGTGACAGAGACAGTATCTCAAATTATAGGCCGATATCAGTGTTACCTACACTTTCAAAAATTTTTGAAAATATTTTGAATACTAGGCTGGTTAGTTTTCTCACTAAGCACAACATTATCGCTGACAATCAATTTGGATTTCAGAAAGGGAAATCAACAGAAGATGCGGTTTTGGCCTTAAGTAACCTAGCGATTCAAAGTATAGATAGAAAACAGAAAGTAACTGGAATATTTTTAGATATAAAAAAAGCATTTGACACTGTTTCAGTTCCAACTCTTTTATCTAAACTAGAAAAAATAGGAGTTCGGGGTCAGGTGCTTGAGATCTTTCAGGACTTTCTAACGGAACGTATTCAGAGAGTCCAAATCGGCAAGTACACTAGTAAAGATGAGCGACTGTCATTTGGTGTCCCGCAGGGGAGCGTGTTAGGACCTACTCTCTTCCTGGTTTACGTCAACTCTCTGTGTAAACTGTCTATTAAGAACTGCAATATTTACACATATGCAGACGACACAGCTCTGTTGGTTACGGGAAAATCCTGGACAGAAGTTCAATATCACGCTGAATGTGCTCTTAGAATGGTCATGAATTGGTTATCTCATAACTTATTAAGTCTTAATGTTGAAAAAACTAAATTTATTACTTTCACAGCAACTAGAGGATCTCAACCATCTGATTTTAGACTAAAAGCACACATTTGTCAAGGTCATCATCAACCTTACTGCAATTGCCTGGAGTTGGAGAGGACAACTACAGTTAGGTACCTTGGCGTTATAGTTGACTGTAACCTCAATTGGAAAACCCATGTACTGGGTCTTGCTGCTAAAGTAAGAAAGCTCTTATTTGTTTTTAAAAAACTGAGATCCTCAGCTAATAATAAAATTCTAAAATTGGTTTATTTCTCTCTGACCCAATCCGTATTGTCTTATTGTTGTGTTGTATGGGGGGGGATATACAAAACAACATTACTGAAGTTGGAACGTGCACAAAGAGCAGTGTTAAAGGTAATATTAAAGAAAAACATAAAATATTCAACAACACTCCTGTATAATGAATTTGAAGTACTTACAGTTCGTAAATTATTTATTTTTAACACTGTGATTCGCAAGCACTCCCAGACACCTTATCAAATAAACATGTTAGGTAAAGGTAGAAGAGGATGGAAAATATGTCCAACTGTAACATGCCGGACTACTTTAGCCGAAAAAAATAACCAAGTATTAAGTAGCCGGTTATATAATAATATAAATAAGATTTTGAATATTTATCCACTTAACGTATCTAAATGTAAACAGGTTTTAACATCTTGGCTACGTACACTAAGTTACAACGACACGGAAGACTTATTATCTGCAATGAAAGCCTAATCAAAGAGGATTAATATCTTGATAAGTAGATAATCTAATACATTCTAAAATGCCTTATTAGTTGACTGTAATTAAAACATAAATATTCGGAAAAATTAACTTACCGCTACATCAACAATACACAGACACACACACACACACACACACACAAATACATACACACAAACACACACAATTACATACACACAAACACACACACATATTCATATTATATTCATTGATGGTTAGTATTTTGTTATTAGATACGTATTTACCGTTCAAGATGTAGCTAGCTTGTATTAATCTGTAGACTATTTATATAAGGAAAAAAAAAAAAAGAGGGGAAGAAAGAGGAAAGGAAAAGTTTATTATCATTTTCTTTTTTCTTTTTTCTTTTTAAAACGTTTTCATTATAGATATAGATCAAATTATTCACACGAGATTGTATTGATAACGAGTCGGCAGGCGCCGGTGTCTGCAATACAGTTTTTAAAACTAGTGCAGATATCAACGCTTCAACCTTATACCTATTGTTAATATTACAACACTACTAATGTGAAAACTAAATGTATAACAATTTAAAAGAAATAAACGTTTTATTTTTTATTATCTAGCGGCCCGCCCTGGCTTCGCTTCGGTGTAGAGCTGAAGTATAGACTACAGTTTTTGTTCTCAGGCTTGTATTATACACAATGACATTCATCTATGATTCTTCTTGCATGCAAAGTCTCAGCCCGTTCGGTTTAAAATTGACAAAGTTTCATACAAACTTTCATTCCCTATTTTATCCCCTTGGGGGTAGAATTGATCAAAATCCTTTCTTAGCGGTTGCCTACGTCATAACATCTACCTGCATGCCAAATTTCAGCCCGATCCGTCCAGTGGTTTGGGCTGTGCGTTGATAGATCACTATGTCAGTCAGTCACCTTTGAGTTTTATATATATAGACTTACTCCACGCGTACGAAGTCGCGGGCGGCCGCTAGTTTTGTAATAAGGCAAAATCTTAATATATATAAATCTCGTGTCACAATGTTTGTCCTCAATGGACTCCTAAACCACTTAACCGATTATAATAAAATTCGCACACCATGTGCAGTTCGATCCGACTTGAGAGATAGGATAGTTTAAATCTCAAATTATAGTCGCAATTTTAATATATTGCTAATTATTACTTTTGGGCGGTACGAAGTTCGCCGAGTCAGCTAGTTTATTTATATATTCTTTTCATATTTAAATTTGTTTATTTCCCGGGCACAGGCAGCGTCGTCCGCATGGAGCGTAATGTCTGACCTATGCTCGGAGCAGCGCTTGTGGCGATCGTTGGTCCGCTACCACTTCACGGCGCAGCAGCTGCGCGCCGTGCGGCATCCCGCGACCGACTGGCGAGCTACCTTCCATCGCCTGCGCAGGTATACTATATGTCGCCATTGCGAAAGGACGGGATCTCTCTCACGATCGGGAGGGGAGAAGGAAAGGAGAAGGGGAAGCTTAAGGGAAGATCTGTAGACTATAGAGTTGGGCGCCAACTTTCTCGTGTAAGGACAAAATACATAGAGTAAAAAAGTAAAAGGAAAAGGAGAACAACATGAAAAGATTGAAAGTATTTATGCAAAAATAAAGAATAATAATTTGAAATTGTGGATTACCTACAATGCGAAAAGATTGCGCTGCCTTGCAGCCTAGGAAACTAGAAAAATTTCGACACGACCATCAGGGCCGCGGTAGCATAATGGTCAGTGCATTAGCCCGGGTAGCGAAGGGTTCGAGTCCCGTCAGCTGTCTGGTCCGCGTGGATTTTTTTCTAGTTAAATTTTCTTAAAATTTATGCAGTAATAATAAATAAGCTTATTTAAATAGCTTTTTATTTTAGTAAAAAACTGTTTCGGCTGGAGTAACGTTACCGCAGCTAGATCTTTTGGTTTCTAGTAGGTATGTAGTCCCCTTCTCAGGGGATGATCGCATCCGATGTTCTCACTGCATCGTCCCCTTCTCAGGGGACGATCGCATCCGATGAAGCCTTAAAGGCCTTCCCGGCCAGAGGCAGTCCCAACGGGTGTTTTTTAGTCAGTAAGAGTCTGACATAACCCTACAGCCGGCTGTAGGGTATCCATGAGGATTTCTCACCCGCTCCCCCGCCTGGGAGGAAACAAAAAAAAAGGACGGGATCTCACGCTGTCCAACATCGCTTTCATCACGGGAATCATCCTCCAATGGGTGGCAGTGATAAAGGTCCGCAAGGAGAACTCTCTCAGTCCTTAGCGTAGACAGGGCACACCTCTAAATCCAGACTTGCACTACATTGTATTAAACATATCGTAAATATCAAAAGAAAATTTTACTAGAAGAAAATCACGCGGACCAGGCAGCAGACGGGACTCGAACCCGCACCCTTCGCTATCCGGGCGAATGCAATGACTGAAATGTAACTATAATTGCTATTTCTACTTTCAAATGTTTAGTACTTGTAACGGTATTCATTTGACTTTGACGGGTTACCTACAATGCGAAGAGATGGCGCTGCCTTGCAGCCTAAGGCTAGAGAAAATTCAACACGGCCAGCAGGGCCGCGGTAGCGGAATGGTCAGTGCATTTGCCCGGATAGCGAAGGGTGCGGTTTCGAATCCCATCTGCTGCCTGGTCCGCGTGGAATATTTTTCTAGCAATATTTTCTTTAGATTTAAAAAATCTAGCAATTAAATGCTTAAAAAATAAATAATACATCGTGAATATTCCAGATTATATGGACTGCGCGAAGACGCACAATTCGCTGAAACGCTGTCATTGTGCCGCCACTGCAAGTGCCTGTTCTGGCGTTCCCTTGGACATCCCTGCATAGCAGATCAGGTAAATATTGTATACAGGCACTCCTCGTACTTACGGCATGATAGGTTCTCGAAATACGCGACGTAAATCTAAACGACGTAAGTCGAGACATCCCCACGGACATTGACCTCGCGGCAAGTGAATTCTCCTATGCCGGAAATCGAAACAATTGACGTATGTTTGAGGAATAGTGTCAAAACATTGTTCGATGTAACTTGAAACGACGTAAATCGAAACGACGTAAGTCATGGATTGCCTGTACTTACTGAAGGCACGGAATCTTATAATTTAACGGTAATTACATTTGACGGTCTTGTACTGTGATGTGACTTTATTTTAAAAGCTCATGGGTTGATATTTTTGTGAGAATAGTGCAAATATTTGTTCCCAAGTTAATATTTATTTGATATGTGCTGCAGTCTTTGCTTGGTTTCATCATCATCCTATTACTGTCTGTCCCCACTGCTGGGCACAGGCCTTTCCTATGGATGGAATAGGGAGATTGGGTCATAGCCAATCCAATGCAAATTGGTGAATGCTAAAGACTGCACATTCCATTGGGCCCAACGGTCTAACGTGCCGTCCGAAGCATGGGGGAGCGAGAGATATTAAATTATAGACACCCATCTAGGAGCTGGCCATTGCAGAAGTGACTTAACTTTCACGCTCGCAGACTGAACTTACTAATAGCGCCATTGAGCTCCTTAAAAAAGATAGATAGTAAATGAATAATTATCATCATCATCCTATTAATGTCCCCACTGCTGGGGCACAGGCCTTCCCTATGGATGGAATAGGGAGATTGGGCCATGATGCAGCCGGGACCAACGGCTTAACGTGCCTTCCGAGCACGGAGGAACTCGAGTTAGAAGATTTTTGATCACCCATCCAATCACCGACCACTGCGAAAGTTGCTTAACTTTAACGGTCGCAGTCGAACGCGCTAACTACCCACGCCATCGAGCTCCTCGAACAATTATATTTTCGTAGAAATCGAGCATTCATACTCTTCATAAGTTTAGACAAATAATATTGTCATTGCCAAACAATTATCGCCCTTATCTCATGGTGATAGTGCCCAGAATACCGTGAGCGTGTGCTACTGATAAGTTTAGACATATTGCCATTGCCAAACAATTATCACCCTTTTTTCATGGTAATAGTGCCCAGAATACCGCGAGCGCCTCCGCGAGGCAGGCGGGCCGCTGCCTCCACACCCGGTGCCGCCCGCAGCCTTCCTCAAGTTCTTCTCGCTATAAAGACAAGGCCTAAACTAAACCAAAACAAATAAGAAAACTGTTCAAACCACAGACATATTTGAGTAGACGAGACGACGCATGCGCGTAAATTTGTATGAAAACTTTAAATGAGAACAGAATAATTGGTTTTACCGTATTTTTTACGTCGGGAACGGTGACGGGTAAAATTTTAATAACGCCAAAGGAAGACGGTGGTGTCGATTTTGACATGATACCTCTAAAGATACAATTACATTTAACAACAGTGTATCCTTGTCATTCTGTATCACGGAGTGAAAAGGAGAGACATGTTCAATTAAGTATAGAGAATCGTTCCAGAATCGACACCATTGGCCTTCCCTTTTGGCTCGCGAAGTACATACTCTTGCATTATTATTATTTACTCCGCTCACGTGTTCCCTCCCTCTTACAACCTGGAATCCTTTAAAAGAGGCGTGAAGAAGCAACGTGCAGGCCGGCAGGGTGAGGATGGCTGGTGTGGCAGGTAAAACTGCCGTATCAGCTATCTTCACGTCTGGACTTCACCTTGACTTAACATCAGGTGGGGTGGAGTCATTTGTCGGACCTATCTATAAAAAAAATCTATTTCAATCTATGTCTGTGGTTCTAGCATAATATACAGTGCGACCATGATATTGTGGCACTTATATGACATTGACAGGAGGGCGCTGATGGTCAACAATTGGTGAAATAAGGATTAATAAGTCCGTATAATGCCCTCACTGAAGGGAACGTTATAATTTGCTATAATTCACAAAGAGTTATAGGAAATATAAAAGGCTTATTTATACCTCCTTAAAACACAAAATCCTGGTCGTACTATAGATTGCGAATCAAACTTAAGGGCCGCTGTGAAGTTAGCTCAAGTCGCGGCGCAGTAAACGAATTACAGTGCGACAAGAATATTTAATTTAAGCATGTGGGTGACAGTTCAAGGAGGGCGCCACTGTCTACGTTAATGACACACAAAATATGACGTTTACAAAGATGGCTTGGAATGGATTAGTTCCAATTTTCGCCACATTCCTAAAGATCCTTGTCGCATTATACAGGCGTCCCGTGGGTTTGTCAAACGGAGGGAATGTATATTAAATATTGATGATAGGATATTATACTGAAAGAAGACATAATTTTATTTTTAATAACATGTTGAACTGCATTCATAGTTTTAAAAAAATCGCCTGCCAAAACCGGGAATCACACTCGTGACATGTATTTTATGGTAACCGTCGAAAGGGTTAAATCATGTGGATTATTATTTCCTAAATAACATAGCATTTTTTTCGAATTTCACGAGTTTGATTCCCCAGGCAATTTAAAAAAATATGTTTATGCAGTTCTAGTTATTATTATAAAATGATGTCTTCTTTCAGTAAAATATCGTATCTTAAATATTTAATATACTTTCTCTCCATGTGACAAACCCTCCGTGTACCTCTAGCACGAACCACTTCCACTTCCACTTGGGTATTATGGCTCCATCGTTATGCACGATGATTCTGCCAATGTCAGGGTTAAGAAAGGCACTGTTATATCGGTACTCATCTTTGTACGGTGTGGTAGCCTGGTTTCCTCGTGGAGCTATCGCGTGGAGTTGAGATTCTAGAATAGGACAACACATATAACATCACAAGCGGACATGTACCCAAGCATACAAATTGTTAGTGTCTTTGTTACTGTAGTAAAGCATTGGAGTTGGATTGTAAGAGGTGACACGGCAAAGTATATAAATAGTTTGGACATCATAAGACAATTCGATAATGGTTCGTTCTAGGGGTACTGAAATCTGCATTGGTCAAAGTTGCTATCGTTGTAACTTCACAACCGCCTTAACATTATACGATGAGATAATTATGTCGACACTTGGTAAAGCTTACAGAATTCATAAATATTTATTTTTATATAACTTGTGGTCTCATTTGCAATCAGTAAAATTTAAGCAGATATTAAAAAGGTTGCGAGTTCACAAATTTAAAGATTTTTATTACTAAAAAAAATTGCTGGGCTGACTGGATTTCTTACCAGTAAAAGTTTTTCTATGGATTTATAAATTAATCATTTATCGGTTAAAACATAATGGCTGATAGGAATTTTTGTATGTCCAATACAGCTTGTAACATCTTTATCGCTAAGAGCATAATGTAAGTTACTAACTTATTTAGAAGATTATTATATCTCTATGAAGAAAAAATAATCACTCGACCACAAAAGACTCAAACCTCAGTTATTGTTCTGAACTGTAAACAATAGTACTCTTATATGGTTAACTGTCCTGTAAGCTTAAGATATTTCTAATTTAAAAAAGCTCTTGTTTTAATTGACATAAAACATAATAAACCGCCCACTATTGACTTGTTTAATATTATGGATTACGAAAATCGACATTATTATATTAATAAAGAGGCATTCTTGTCCTATTGAAGGCAACTAAGTATTTGCTAGGTTTAGAAATTACTAATGTTCGTGCGGTGAGAAGCGAATGCTTGCGATCTCAGGCGGATAGGCCTAAAATGTGAACTCACATCACACGTAAATGTTGACTATCTATAATGTGTTCTACTATACTATTAATAAGGCTGCTTGTTGAGTATTATCTGAGTGAGAATAGGGCGCACCCAAGTCGCATAATATTGAGTGTAAACGGTTTTGTGATAACACAACTTTTGTGGATTCAAATGTATTGGGACTTAATGAAGAAGATTTTAAAGGAATCAATATTTCAATACACCGAAAGCCTGTATATTGATGTTTTAATTTTAAACAATCTACTCAAATTTTTGCTTCAGAAAGTTTTGTACTTTTAATAAAAAAGGCTGTATGTAAACTGGCGAGGACTCAGTTAACCGGTTTATTTATAAACGAATGAATAAAACAAAATTTTAATTGTTTACTTCATGATTTCAGGCGTTTTACCAAAAAGTAAAATTTATTGATAGTTCCCACAGCTGAGCTACGTTTATCAAAGTGCGAAAGAATTTTATTCTCTTACAAGCTTTCAGTGTGTGGAAACTTTGTGTCGTGTGTACTAACATATGTAATAATAATTAATAAAAAAAATACTAAAAGCCAGTGAAAGTTACAGAATCTATTTATGACCAAATAATTAGTTATCTTTATTAACAAAATGTTACGTGTTATTTTTGGTGGTACCGAATTTTATTACTTAGTGTAGTTTTGTTTTTTATGTATGCTTGTTTTCGCATTACTAATCATTAATGTCTAAATTACCTATTAATTAATGCTTTAAAAACCTATGTGATAATTCCAAAATTAAATGAATAAATTGAATTTATAAGTGAGTTATTTTCGTGTGTTGCATGTCGTTTGTTATACTTATTATTATATTCATAATTATTGTAATATTATATTGCAATGTAAAGAGACTTTAAATTTTCGTCAAAACATTTTACATGTAAAAAAATATCATACTTACTAAATAATTTAGAAATAAAACTTTTTGAATAATGTTTAAGTGAGTATGGCCTTAATTGGGTGAATACGCAGTATATGAAGGATTCATGTGAAATATGTTACTCCTACAATAACAACACAAGTACAATTTTATTTTTTCATTCCATGTATATTCAGTTTTTACCGCATTTAATCGTTCAAAGTGCTTTTTTCGTCGTTGATCATCACTGTCATGGAGTCCAGGAAAAGGGGTATACATACAAATAATATTTTTATATATCTGTCAAATAGTAAGTAGCTATTATTATTCAAACACTCATTAAAAGAACTTCTTACAAGAGAGACAATTCTTGCTACAGATATCATTGTATCAGCACCAAATGAATGAAAACAGAATTCCTTTCATAATCAAAGCAGAATTCATTCTTCATGTGAAGAAGTAAATTTAAACCAGAAGTATAAGCCGCGGCGCGAAACTCTAGCGCTAACCGTTATTGCGCAGAAGTAAAAATTAAGATGTGTTGGGGGTAGGCTTGCCAGGTGTCCGGCTTTAGCCGGACATGTTTGGATTTTTGCGGTCGCGTCTGGCCAAATATGTACGGGTTTGGCCTGTCCGGCTTTTGTCAGGCTTTTTGTCAGAGTGGCGATTCGTACGACGATGGGCGGTCGAGCGTCCGGACAAGAGAGCAAACTGTTTGCGCGTGTGGCGCGTGACTACCCCGCCCCGCTGTCTGATATAATAAATATATCCGGCTTTTACGGCAAAATGTCGGGCCTTATATAGTGCGCAGTCCGGCCTTTGCATTTTATGGCCTGGCAACGATAGTTGGGGGGAAACGAGGTGCGCGGGTGAGAGACGTTGCGCCGATTGTCTCTCGAGTCGTACCCAGGCGCAGCTTTCTCTGACCAGTACTTTATGTGTAAAGTCCAACATTATTTATTATTTTACTTAATGTAATATTTAACTCTTACTGATAATAAGAATAATAATCATTTGGTCTACTCTCGTACAGGGCATAACTTTTCATGGTGAGCATTTTGAAATATATTATTTTTTCAGTTGGTGCTGAATATATGTAGTGAAAAATCTATTTTTGAATATTTAGAATACTTGTTGTCTAAAGTAGTTCTACTATAAAGATATATTTAGCGCTATGTAAATTACACTTCAATTATAAAAATAGCGTACACTGGAACATGTACTTGTGGTAATTTGGAGTTTAATTTTATTGTAGGATGAATCTACAGTATTTGATGTCCTCATGATAGTAAAATTTAGGTTGGTAGTTTAAGGTGGAGGCAACTTAAAGAACATTTATATGACTAGCATTTATTTAAATGTTAACAACGTCTCACTTCATTCACAGTGATGTCATCAATCTTTCACATTGAGATTGATGAGATAATATACTTTGTTTTTATGTTTTATTTTGATTATATGTTGATAGAAATATCTAACCATCAATGAGGCTTAGTCAATTGTCAATTGACTTTCTGCAAGTGATTGTCTGAATCTGAATTGAACTTTTTTTATATTATTTAATTTGTAGAGTTTGCGGTATTTATAGTTGTTAACATTTGAAAGCGACCACATTGTCATTAAAAAAAAACACTGTACCATGTAGTGTAGATGTTGATATTGTGATATTTTAAGATAAATTTATTGTAGATTAATTTTAAGAATTTGAAAGACCCATTGAAGTAAAAATTGTTCTAGTAGCTAAAATAGCAGCTTACATATTATTATTCATCTTGAGTCATTTTTGTTTAATCTGTGATGTGTTTTTGTGCAAAGGAATTGTTTTTTTTTCTTGTGTTCTCACTGTGTTATTGTACTGTGTAATGGTATTTTCTGAATAAAGTTATTTTGAATAAGAATTATTTTTAATTTCCGCTGATCTTTAGTGTGATGCTACAACTAATACAATTTCCACCCAGTTCTGTTAAATTTAAAATTGGCCCAAACATTAGTAATGAAAATTGTTGAAAAATTAAAATTTTTTCCAGCCTAGCTATGTTAAGTGTAAGTGGAGACAAAATTTAAATGAAACAATAGAAAAGTGCCATTCCTAGGGGTTGTTTAAATTGTAACCCCCTTTAAGCCGAACCAAGTAACAATGTGGCACAAGCTAATTAATGTTTTTCCAAAATATAAAATGGAAAGGAATAAGGAAAGTAATAAAGTTACACAAATAAATTCCTGAATCCAAATTCCTACACTGTACTTACCAAAACAAACACATCATGCCAAATGTCAACACATGGTCTTCTACAAGGTGGTTTCCTCCCCAGACAGACAATCCAATCAAAGTTGAAAAAAAACAGGACAAACAAAAAAAATTAGTTACTATAAATCTGGTGCCCACTTACGAACGATACGATTTTATGGATGAGTTGGCCAAATTTAATGGGACGAATTTTAAAGTTTCACTGCTGTAGGCATATGTCACTAGTCCAATTTCACGAATGAAAATCAAAGTATATTTTAGGTTTATTTATTATAAACAGATTCTCGTATATTAAAAATGTTAAAGTATTTTAAGTTAATATTTACACGAACAAAATCTCTTACTTGATCAAGAGAGATCACTCTTAACTTTCTCACAATGTCGCACCAGGTCTTTTAATTTATATACTAAATCCTGTAACTGTTGACTGCCACACGTAAAACTAATATCGTTTCCGCTTTCCGTTTTTAATATTACTGAGTATAACAAGTTATCTGAACCAACTCCGGGTGTATTCGTAACAACCTCCAGTTTCCACTCGACGTCAACTATTTTGGGAAGCACGCCGATATCAGGAGCCTTGTGTTCTTCCATATTGATGATTTATTTATGAGTAAATTAAATAATTGCTTTTTAACTTCATTTGATCAATTTAGAAATCTTAGTCTTCTCGTGTATGTCTTGTGTAGTTCGCGAACTAGGCTTGTTGAAAATATATCGATGTATCGATATATCGATATTTTTCGTTCGATATATCGATATTTTTTGCCGATATATTTTGATTCGATATATCGATACATCGATACAAAATAACCAATATCGAAATTCGTATCAAAAACGATATTTTTTTAATTATTAGCGGCATATCACGATTTAACTAAATTCGTATCTGGAAAAATCGTAACTGGATCTCAGATTAATGATATTCAACTTGATAATTTACCACAGAACCACCAGAGAGACGGCCACAGATATACCGTAGAGGTCCCACAAACTCGTACTAAACGGTTTGCTTCCACCTATATAGTTAGAACAGCTAGGTTGTGGAACTCTTTGCCGGAATCTCTGTTCCCAGTCACCTATAATCTGGGGCTCTTCAAGTCGCGAGTCAATCGGTTTCTTCTAGGCAAGCGCGTCCCACCTTAGGCTGCTACGTCGCTTTCCATCAGTTGTGTGGCCGTCAAGCGTAAGCCTATTTATTGTAAAAAAAAAAAAAAAAAAATTCAACATATCTATGATCTGTGCTGTATTTAGTATTGTCTATGTCATCATTCGAAAATAGGGTCTATTTTTAGGAAGATAATTTTCGTTCCATTATTATTCCGCGTGTCATATTTCGTGAGCTGCTGTCCGATATTTTTGGGAAAATTGGTCCGATATATCGATATATTGATGTTTTTTTCGCGATATATCGAAGCCGATATTGATATTTTTTAAAATATCGATGTATCGATATATCGATATTTTTTTCAACTTTCGACATCCCTAAAGTGTGCTCCCACAGGTAAATTACAACTTTCGACATCCCTATCGCGAACGAACTAGGTCGTAAGAGTGCTAGGCTTGTTGAAAATATATCGATGTATCGATATATCGATATTTTTTGTTCGATATATCGATATTTTTTGCCGATATATTTTGATTCGATATATCGATACATCGATATAAAATAACCAATATCGAAATTCGTATCAAAAACGATATTTTTTTAATTATTAGCGGCATATCACGATCTAACTAAATTCGTATCTGGAAAAATCGTAACTGGATCTCAGATTAATGATATACAACATATCTATGATCTGTGCGGTATTCAGTATTGTCTATGTCATCATTCGAAAATAGGGTCTATTTTTAGGGAGATAATTTTCGTTCCATTATTATTCCGCGTGTCATATTTCGTGAGCGATATTTTTGGGAAAATTGGTCCAATATATCGATATATCGATGTATTTTCGCGATATATCGAAGCCGATATTGATATTTTTTAAAATATCGATGTATCGATATATCGATATTTTTTTCAACTTTCGACATCCCTAAAGTGTGCTCCCACAGGTAAATTACATGAACTAGTTCCCTCATTCCCCGTTAGCAGTTCTTTAGTTGGTGACCGAATGAGCGAGTGGCGGTAACAGAATTTATTTCGTTACGGAATTTCATCACACACAGGTAAAATTTGGAGGGTTTTTTCTTCGAGGCTGGCCCTGTGATTGACGCACATATCAACAATAACCTAAATATACATATTCGAAAAAGGAGAAAAGGGAAGGGCATATAGAAAGGTATTTTAATCACTACTGCTATTCAATCGGAGGATTTTACTGTTTTTAGAGTACAAAATTTGTAGTTAAAAGTACAGCATTCAATAATCTTATCACATGCAGCTAGAGCAGTATCAAAAATACCTACAAATATGTTTCTAACCATAATAAATGTATGAAACCAATGTGCTTCTGGCGTGGCGCGTCACCTTCACGACACGCCACGTCACGACACATTAATATGTTTCTGCCTTAAAAGATGTTCAGTGGTCACTGAAAGGGATAAAAGGCTTCTGTTGTGTACCTTTCACACATCCTGTTTTTTCGCTACATCTGTGCGCTTGCTAGGGTAGTTTGCCAATTACAGAGCATAATGCGACTCAGTGGCGTAAAATGCCGAATTATGCTTATGTTAATTGGAACGTGAATTAGTTTTCAAATGCACCAGTAGAGTGTGCTAAGTTGAAAAAAAAAGTCAATGTTTGTACCTTCATCCATACTTATATATTTTTTTTTAACACAGGTTGAATTAACTTTGATTATTTAAAAAAACTACAATGAAACGAAAGCTTTAAAAAATTTTCAACAATTAATAATATTACTAACGATATTAGATAAGTAAAACATTTCGATCAATGTTGATCAAAAAAAACCGTTAAATTAAGTGAACCAAATTATAAAATAACGTATGAGTAAACGAGTTTTATTGTTGATAATCAAATGATGACAAAAAATAATTACAAACATAGAAATTTAATTACAAAAATAGTGTTGCCAGACAGACGATTCTGAATACCCGTAAAGTACTACTCGCTTCCATCACGCACGTGTTCGAAAATAATAAAAGTCATTATCATCTGCTTAGCTTTTTCCCCAAATTGTTCGGGGTTGGCAACCTAAGCCAGGCCAGGAGAAACGAAAATAAATAGGTAACTTGTAAAAATTTTTTGCGAGGCTCCCTCAGGCGCGAGGCCGTCGGCGGTGGCCAACGTCGCCGACGCCTAGCGCCGCCACTGGCACGCAGCACACGAAAACATTACTTTTGAGAGTGCTCGATTGTGCGAAGCGTAGCTGTAGTTGAAACAATCAACGTGGACACTGTTGCCCCATCTCAAGTAAGAGCGACTGCTCGCAAAGCCGGCGCAGCTGCGGTGACAGCCGAAACCAATAAAAGGCGTAAATATGGGGCCTTGGGAGAGCCGTATATATTTGCACCTTTTGCCGTGGAGACCTTGGGGCCTTGGGATGCGGAAGCCCGTCAGCTATTTAAGGAGATTTCCACACGCCTCATCGACGCCTCAGGGGATCCAATCGGCTGGCGCGCATTTTGGACAAAGGTTGAGCCTGGCCATTCAACGGGGAAATGCCGGCAGCCTCTTGGCCACCATATCCTGCGAGCGCAGCGATTTGGGGTCGACTTTTTACATAATATAGTTTTATTTTTAGTTTGGTATAAGTATTTAGTTTATTTAGTAGTTTTAATCTATTTTGTGAGTTTAAATAATACAGTATTTTAGGAAATATTGTTAATAATCAACGTTAAGCGTTTTTTTTATTTATTTATTAGAAACAAACGGTCATACATATAAATTTGAAAATATTGTCAGTTTTATATCACTACAGACCTACAGTTTCCTTAATTAGAAATCGCGCTGTACAGCTAAAACCCAGCAAATCGAAACGAGCTAACAATACAGATCGACCCGGCCCCCCGCCACCAGAAACCCGTCAATGTTTCTCCAGTAATGCATGTATGTAAATATAATTTCTACGCACAATTGTTAAATGGATACACACTACCGGGCTTCCACAGACGAAAAGCCGAGCCATCCTGCACAATCAACCAATCCCGACCCACCGGGCCCCCGCCACACAGCGACGAAATTGTTAACAAACCTTTTAAAGTAAACAAATTAGCGCTAATCAATTTAAACTAAAGAACTTTAAGTAAATGTGATGAAAAGTCTATTTGCGTTACATGTTTGAGTATTAAATTCTAATCTTCATACATAATCAAACAGTGTATAATTTAAAGGCGTTCTTGATTTTCCCTATTGATGTGTTAAATATATCTATAGTGGTAAGTTTTTCATTTTGGTCAAACGTTATACATGCACGTCTTGTAAACATATTTTTAACGTAACATGTTCTATTAAATGGAATATAAAATAATTTTTTATCACGACAATTGCGTTCGAGTCTGCGAGGTACTCTTAGATTTATTTTACTAAGTAAATAAGGAGCATCAATAAAGTTATTTAGTATCTTATATAATAAAAGTGCGTCGACACAGTTTCGACGCTCTTCGAGAGTCTGAATATGATAGTGAGATAGTGACTGTGTATAACTTGGTTGAACGTAACAATTGCTATAGTTTACTGATTTAATGATTTTTTTCTGAACCCTTTCGATTCTATCGATATGTTTCCTACAATATGGTTTCCACACTGCGCAAGCATACTCTAATCGACTACGGACAAAACAATTAAAAAGTGTCTTATATGTAAAATCTTTTTTGAAAGGTTTACTAACGCGGAGAATAAAGCCAAGCTGTTTGTAATAATTGAATCTAGGTGCGGTAAGAAAGTTAGTTTACAATCCATTAAGACACCTAGGTCGCGGATTTGGTATACTCGTTGTAATGCTGTATTCACCAAAGTATATTTAAAGTTAATAATTTTCTTTTTTCTTGTAAAACTAATAATATGACATTTTTCAAGGTTAAGAAATAGATTATTTGTATTGCAATAATGTTCAAATTTAAAAATATCGTGTTGTAGCAGTGTACAATCATTGACGTCACGAATAATTCTAAATATTTTAGTATCATCTGCGTAAAGTAAAACACCAGAATGTAGAATGCTATTAGTTATGTCATTTACATATAATATAAACAATAACGGTCCCAAATGGGAACCTTGGGGGACGTCAGAATGAATATATTTGAATTCCGAGCAATATCCAGAGATTACAACAGCCTGTTTTCTTTTCTCTATGTAAGACTTTACTCATCGGGATAGATCACCATGTATACCAAGTCGCCAGAGCTTTTTTAACAAGGTACTATGGCAAATTTTGTCGAACGCTTTGGCAAAATCGGCATACACGGCATCCATCTGGAACCCGTCATTCATAGCTTCTAGTACAACTTCGGTGAAATTAAGTAAATTAGTTTCTACAGAACGACCCTTGTAAAAGCCATGTTGACAACAAGACACATGACGGCGAACCACCCTAGATAGTTGGTCAGTAACAATTTTTTCAAGTATTTTTCCGAAATGACATAATTTAGAAATAGGTCTATATTTTTCAATGTCTGAACTGACTTTACCTTTTGGAACTGGAGTAACCCAAGCCTGTTTCCAGATCTCCGGCATACAACATTCCCTCGAGGATTTTGTAAATAAAATAGTGATTGGTAACGTAAGAGTTGAAGAACATTTTTTTATAAATAACGGGGGGATATCATCAGGACCTGCTCCATTGTTTATATCAATTGATTTCAGATAATAGGCTAGTTTACTCATGTCAAATTGCATTAAATAAATGTTTATTTCTTAAAGTATTTAGTATAAGGAACCTTAATATATCGATTTCGCTTAATAAAAACAGAAGATTGCTGTAGAAATTTAATTTTAAAAAATATTTTTTAGTCTATATTTTTTAAACACTAAAAACGCTGTTCGCCACATCCGCCATAATTTTGACGTCTCATGTGGTAAACAACTAAATGTCATTCGCGTGTTACTGTAGGTGGAGTCTTTCGTCTGACTAAATTTATCTTAAAACACTTTTAACTTTAGGAAAGAAAAAAAACAGAAAACTTAGTTTATTTTGACAAAACTAATTATGGATGCCGGCTTTGTGAAAGCAGAAAGCACAAATCTGCCAAGAATTGACGCATTGATGGTTGGTGAATTTGTTGCACTAAACCCCGATTTCTGCTCTGCGGAGCAGAGAAACGACAAGGCATCTATGTAAGTACAGTGCATTTAGTATTACATTGTAGTAATAAACATAAAACTGATACAACATATGAATAAGTGTAATAAAGTTGCGTAGGTTAATTTCTTTCGGCACTTTAATCCACAACTTGGAGTCTTCAAGGATGTGTTTTTATATTCACGTACAATACAGTAATGATAATTACTTTATTTTTCGGGGTATTTATTAGAAATCATGTTTTTTTTATTATAAACTCAGTTAAAAGTAATTTTCTACGTGTTTACGAGTTTTTGTTTACCACAGTTCACGTCATAGCATAGATAATCTATAGACTAAAATGGCCGACAGCGTTTTTGTATGTCCATGATAAGTCTATTTTAAAATTAAAGATTTGTAGCTTTCTAGGTTTAAAAAAAATACAATACATTTTTTTTCGGTCTAATAGAACATTTATTAACCATTTAAAACCTTTTTCCAAAAAGGGTCAACTAGCCTTCTATAGAGTGCATATCAATGATAGGGTCAAGAGGCGGTGGCTCAATATTGTCAGATTCAAAAGGTAATTCGTTAGACTTCTCAAAAACAGAGTAAAAGTAATCGTTAAACAAGTTACAAATAATTTGCCCATCAGAGACCGTTGACCCTTTATAATTCATTGATTGTGGGAGCCCTTTATTAGAAGCAACAGACTTAACATAAGTCCAAAAATATTTATTTTTTTATGGGTGTTCATTTTTTCTTCCGAGAATGATATATAATAGGGAAGATGCAATATTTTTATATTTGTTTTCATTTTAAAGAATTCTATGTAGAATAAACCACAGACATATTAAAAAATTAAAACATTGTGATTTATCGGAAAAAATGCGGTTTTAAATTGACAATTTAAATTTTCGCGCGAAAACGAACCTATGTTTGCGATGACGTCACTCCTGTCTGTCACTGGTCGTACTTGTTCGTTGCTGGCTTTAAATTTTCATACTTTTGCATATTTTTTGAATTTCGAAATATTTTTTTGAAAAATTTAAAATGGACTATCCATCAACATCATGTGATCATAACAATACCACTAATATTCCGAAAAAAAGCCGTATTGACTCATGTTTTGTGCCAATCTACTTCAACAAAGTTCCCAAATAAATTGTTTTTGACTGGAACTTCTGACCCAAAACTGAAAAAAAAGTGGTTTCAAGCTGCGAAGAGAAATGACAATTATTCTCCAAAGACCATTATTCGATGCTGAGAAGATCACTTTGACTTAAGTCGGCGAATATACTTGTTATGTACTTAATTAATCTGCTTGTACGTAAAAACGCATTAGTAACCTACCTAATACTTACAAAACCTGTCTATAATATATTTTTAATTTTACAGTTGGAGAATGACGACGAAAATTAGATAAAGTTTAAAATGTGTGGCATAATCTTCACATTGGCAGGACTGAACCAATCTTTGCGTTTCATTTAAAATAACTGTAACACGATAACCTTCTTTACGTACTTTATGCTCCGGAGAACTCGACCTTTTACTGTACATAATTCTCCATCCCTTTTAATTTGGACATAGCCGATTGCATTATCGCCGTAAGATTTGTAGAAGCCACTGAATAAAATACGAAGTTTAACAACTACGATTTTTACATACCGTAGTAATTTACTCCCTTTCATTTCTACACTTAAAAACTCTGCACTTTGGACAAAAAAGTTATAACCATGTCAACGCTAACTCTTGGTAAATTCCTGGAGTCTGCTTTGATAAACGCAACTTCCATTTTTATTAAATGTAAAAAAACGCAATAAATATTCCCATAAAATAATATTTACTTTGACAACCATAACCTCAAAGAAGTTGTCATAACAGGAGTGACGTCACTAAACGCTGATTGGTGTTTTAAAATACGTTCCGTTTCAAGTATTTTTAATTCGTAATAATTGTTAAAAAACAACATTCTGTAAAATAACAACGTTGCAGTGGCATTTCTTTTATTTTTTTTAACATTTTAATCATAAAATTTTCATAAATATTATATATGCATCTTCCCTATTATTGTAGCACTCTTTCATCATTTTTCTGCACGTTTACGCAAGATTTTAAAACTCTGGTAATCTAAAGGGTTACCATATAATTTCCATAGCTTGTGAAATTAACGCTTTTCTTTCAAAAGTTTAGTCAATGCCCTACTGTGCCAAACTGGAACTTTAGTAGAATCATGAACTCGTCGTTGGGGAACAACCCGTTAATGATAGCGTAATTTTTTTTAACACAGTTTTCCGTATTTAAGTCTTGAAATAATATAGACCAATTTGTACTACTTAATTCTGTGTTGATCTTCTCATAAATCAGCACAATTATGCCGCATAATGCGCTCTAGTGCTGTAATTAGAAAACTACCTAGATCTACTCAGTTCTTTTTAAGTAGTCCGCGGCCCTCTTTAGTCTTTCATTTATTTTTCTAGTTTTTAAATTACTCGTTCATTGATTCACAAAATATGATTCATTCATTATCAGAAGTTTTTTCTGAGATAATGGGTGACTTGCGTCTTCAGAGGACTTGCGTAGACAAATGACATGCAAATGACACACATGACCAGTGTTGCCAACTCTACGTCTTTTTACGTAGATCTACGTATTTTAGGCCTTTTCTGGAAACCTACTAACTTCAGTCCCAGAATCTAGGTATTTTTTTTATTTTTTTCAGATTTGTAAAATAACTTAATCCACTAGAAAAAAGAAGAATATTTTCCGTTACTTTACTTAAAAACTATACAAATGTTTAATTCTTATAAAGATGTATCTAAACACACTTGTTTTTTTGTAGAAAAGGTTCCCGTTATTGGTTTTGTTGACTAAATTAATGCTGGACGCAGGATTTGTGAAAGCAGAAACGACAAAACTCTTTGACTTAGTAGGTACATTCATAACCTTAAAAAATATATTTTTTAACTTTTAATATCAATGAGTACCTACTCACATCGAATTGATCTTTGCAAAAAGAAAAGACTTTCAGTCGATAAAGTTACAGGATTTAGCAAGTTTTAAGTATATGTTCATGTATAAGTATGTTTTTTCTCTTGGCAGTTTAAACCACAACTTTTCTAGAGTCTTTTACGAAGTGTATCATGATAACTACTATATTTTTCATGTGATCTATTAGAAATCATGGTTTTATAATATTAACATAGAAAGTTTATTTCCTACGTGTTTTAGTCTATAGACTAAAGAGAGTTTTTGTATGTCTTCTAGTTAAAAAAAAAAAAATTTTTTTCGTTCTGATAGAATAATTATAAACAATTTGAAACATAATTCCAAAAAGTGTCAACTAGCCCATTTAACAACAGTTTATCCTTGTCATTCTCTATACAGAATGAATGTCATTCTCTATACAGAATGAAAAGGAGAGACTGATGTTAAATTAAGTTTTAAATTTAGAGAATCATCGAGAATCGGCACCCACCAGTGTCTGTGTCTGATGGTAAATGTTTACCACAGTATGGTAAATGCTTCCAATGCAGCGACTTCTCCAAGAACTCTTTGTTCTATCTCCAGTTCTTAAACAAATTGTATAACAAAATACTCGTTTTATTAGGTTTCAAATAACTTCTTCATTTCACTCAGAAAAAAGTACGTAGATCTACTTACTTTTCATATGCAAAATTTACTAATTCTACGTAATTTTCTCATCGGGCCTACGCCTTTTTCAAAATCCGAGTTGGCAACACTGCACATGACACATGATGACATCGGCAGAAAAGGGCTAGAACCCAGTGCCGTAAAACCAAAATAGAAAAAAAAAACATGATGACATGACTCTATGACCATAGAGAATCTAACCATGACTGAAAAATGTCACACGAAGTTTACTGAGAATTTTGAAAATCAAAATTATGTTATTTACTTTGGAGTTTTATCTGTATCACTTGCAGTTTTATATTTCTACAGGTACAGTTACTTACAGTAATATATATTGTTAATCCACTGCTCATACAACTGTCTGTATTCCAGTTTGGCTATTTCAGATTTCACTTCATCGCTATAGTGCTCAGCTATGTGTTGGGATGTGTGGCTTGTTATTATGGGGTAAAATCAAATATTTTGCACACATACGTGCAACAATTAAAGTGCCATTTTGTGAGAGAATCAGTTGATGAGAGGATTGTATTAACACATAAGAAAGTAAGTGTTATTACAAGTGTTTTTGTTAGTGTTATTGTTTTTCTTTATCAATGTTTTGAAATATGTGAGCTGCTGAGTGCCTGCTAAAATTATAAGTACAATAAAATTTCTCGTTTGCTATAAAGATATACACAGTGCGGGATATTTTTAGTTTAATTTAACCTTTCATTACACAAAATGATAATGACAAACTACATTTATCAAATTGAATATAAACTCAGCTTTACCACAAGTCCTTTGCTACAAAATACGTAACTGTATATTATTAAATTTAAACATGATTAAAGTAACAAAGTTTTATTGTTTTATTTCCAGAGTTGTGTAGCATGTGGTTCCAAAGATTGTGCCCGTCATAATCCAGACATTCCAGTAGAGCCCTGGGTGGGTCTACAAATACATAAACAACTAGACCAAGCCATTGAAGATGTATGTACTTAAATTTCAGTATGCCATGCTTTTATACTTTTAAAAGTGCTTGTAACAATTCAATTCAATTTTTTGCATTTATGTGGTTACATGGATGGTTACAAGTTAAAAAAAGGGAAAAAGTACCTAACAATATAGATAAAACTTACAAAAGAGAATTTAACAAATAAACAATTATCTATATGAAGAACCTAATTTTTATTAAACAACTTTTTTTGTCAAAGCATGCATAAATGTCATCTGATTTCATTAATTTTATAACTTACTTAATTGAATTTATTTACAATAGTAGTTTAATTTTGTAATTATTATTATTATGATGACAATAGCTTGGACTGAACAAAAAGCAACAGCAACCAGAATTAACAATATATAATGATTTTATTTTATAATGAATTTCATGTGGATTGGTTAATTTTCAACACTGTTTAACTTAAAATACAAAGAAGATATAAGTGCTCCACCAAAATAGGCAAATTTTGTAATCCTTGTGCTTTATCAAATTTATTACTGAAACATTGTTCTTTATTTGTTTTTTAATTACATTGACAGTTTTATAATACAATTTTGGAGCAGTTTATAAACTCTTGGTACAGCAAGATCACACTGCAACCATTCTTTGTTGACGAGCTGCGTTATCAACTCCGTCATGCATCTGCTAGTCTATTAAGTCGTGCTGTAAAGGTATGTACAAATCCTTAGTATCTCATACATACATAATATATAACAATTTAATTTTTGATAAAAGTGAGTGTCGTGGCCTATTCTCCTTATTCCACCCATAGGGATGGTCTGTGCCTCAGCAGTGTGGACATTAATGATGATGAAAACAAGATAGGGTTATACATGGTAATATGAAGAGCTTAATGACACGTTTTTAGAGGTGATTTCGGCTTGCGATTGTGGAAGTTGAGTAAATTCAATGTCTACGCAATGACTGGTCACTTTTGGAAGGCATGTTAATAATGTTGATCTCGGTTGTATCTGCAGTCTTTAGCAACCACCAATTCTGTGGGTATCTACCCAATCTCCCTATTCTATTCATAGTTAAGGCCTGTGCCCTAGCAGTGAGGACATTGATAGGTTGATGATGATGATAGTAATATGTTTTTTTTTTACAATCTCATAGAGAACTTGCAAGTGCCCTCAACATCATGTGAGTGGTTTATCATCAAACTGCCATGCCCCTTTTCACCCCTTAAAGTAGGATTATTGGGATAAATCTGTTCTATGCCCTTTTCTGGGACACAAAATTACATCTAAATTGGTTCAGCAGTTTAAGCGTGAAAAGGTTACAGAAAGACAGACAAACATATGTTCGCATTTATAATATAAGTATAGATTCAAACATACAATTGTGATGATGTATATGTGATTTGCATGGCTTTCTCTATAACACTCAGAAAAGTCAATGACTCTTAATGTTTATTCAAAGTTACTGAATAGAATAAGGTAAAACTCAATGAAGCATTAAATGAATTTGATGTTTTTCAGTACAGCTCTTAAAAAGCAATATTTTAGTGTAGGTAGTCTGCTAAACTATTAACATGGCATCTGTTACCATGTGTCTTACCATTACTATTGCAATTGTATACAATCTTAAATACGGCCCCATCCCGCGACCACCAACAGGCATGCAGAGATCATTCACTCAGTCTTCAATAGTCAATAATAGTGACTTCAAAGTCTGATTAAAACAACAATTTTCAATTTTAGGTAGACTTTGCTAAACTATTAACATGGCGCCTGGTACCATGCGCCTTACGTCACTACTGCGAGTGTACGCAGTCTCGGATGCGCCCCCATCCTGCGGCCGCCAACAGGCACGCAGAGATCAAGTACTTGAGATGCGTCACCGATGCTATCATGCCGTATCTACTTAACCAGACCGAAGTCAATAATTCGTGAGTGTAACCCTTTATCCATCTTACTACACATGTTCGAAAAATCTAAGCAAAACTTGTCTAAGAAACTGTATGTTTTATTTTGATGTAAATTTCTTTCTTAGCAAAATATAATTGGTATACAATATTTTTTGTAAACTTTTCTTCGAATATGGGTAACAACCAAATGTTATTGCGGGATTACATACAAAAATGCCTATTGCCCAAGTTTATTTGTCTGTGGTTTTCCCACCACTCAGGTTGTATAACGGCCGGTTTCAATATTCAACCTTTAACAAAAGGCAAGTATAATCTGGTTCCACTTTTTAGAAACAGTTTTTTAGTATAATCTCTTTAATATAAATATCTTGGCGACTTTGAAAGTAAAAACTAAACTAGTAAGGAACTATTCATTTATTATGTAAGGCGATTTATGGGATGAGGGTAGGTTTTGCCAACTCTTCTATATAATATAGTATCCTACTATATTAGGGGATCAAATACTTTATTTCTAAAAAAAAAATATAGTATATATAGTATACTATATATAGTATACTATAATATTTTGCTTAGCCATGACACAACAGACTTTTGCCAGTAAAAGCTTTCTTAAAATAAAAACTGAATTACTAAGGTAAAGAGCAGCAAAAATATACTCATTTTAATAATAAAGTAAATATTTTGACCACATACTATATTTTTTTCCATTTTTTTGTCATTTACTATATTTTTAGAGGTAACAGCCTCGAAAATACTATATTTGATAGAAAAAAAGTTGGTAACCCTAGGTGAGGGGGGGTTGACCATGTCTTATTTTCTTACAATAATTAAGACACCCTCCCACCCAGGAGGAAAAATTCTGACTTAGGATCGCAAAACTGCGCAAAGTAAAGATTATACTTACAAAAAGTAGTTTATTACTACCAAAATAATAAAAATTAGTAGCAACTTTTGTAGGTACAAATAAATATTCCTAAAAATTCGTACTTGGAAAATAAACATTGGAATAAATCAAACGTGTAATTATTCATTTATTCCTTAAGATTCTTACTTAATAAAAATGAAACAGGGGTGGCTGTAGGACTATTCTTATTTCTACTTACATAGGGGGGGAGGGAGTGTAAACTACCGAAAATAGTCTTAAGTAATAATTGAATGGTCCCTAAGTAGGGAGAGAATAGGTTTGTATTGTATCAGTATATGATATTTATTCTGTCCGCTACCCTAGTATCCCATAATACAAGCCTACAGTGTTTACTTTGGGAATAGGCTAATTGGTGTGAATGTTGGAAATGATTATTTATTTATAATAATTATTATTATTATTTATTGTCTATAGACTGGGATATACAAAGTAAATAATTTGTTTGACAGGGCGTTTCGGGTTTTAATCCGTGAGATATTTGCTGGCTGGGTGCTGTTGTCACTTACGGACGTCCTGGCCGATCCCTACATACTTAACACTCTGATTATACTGGCCACTGGCGACGATACCATGGCACAGTTGCCGACTACACCCAATTATAAAGTGAGTAATTGCGTTATCATATTTTTTTATAACAAAAAATATTTCTTTTTATGTAAAAATGATAAATAAGCTTCTCAAAAGATCTATCTAAACAGTAAAAGAACGATAAACCACGGTTAACTTCTTCAAGCAACTTTCGCAGTGGTCGGTCATTGGATGGGTTACCAAAAATCTTTTATCTCGCATGGTGGGTCATGGCCTAATCTCCCTATTCCATCCATAGGGAAGTCCTGTGCTCCAGCAGTGGGGACATTAATATGCTGATGAAGTTTAAATAAAATGTGTTTTAAGTTTGTGAAAATAAATATTAGAAGTTTTTTTTTTTATGTTATAGGGGGCATACGAGCAGACGGCTCACTTGATGGTAAGTGATCATCGTCGCCCATGGACACTTGCAACACCAGGAGTATCACAAATGCGATGCCGGCCTTTAAGGAAGGAGTACGCTCTTTTCGCTTTTTTTTTTTTTTTTTTGAAGTTGGATTAAATACATTATATAGAAGCCCACACATTCATTACCTGATGATGGTCTTGCAGGTGGAGTTTCTAGAAACATTCGCTCGTCACACGGACTCTGTGTATGTGCAACGCAGCAAGTTGTTGAGAGTCGAGTTGGAACAAGTCATTGATGACCAAGACCAATTTTATGCGTTCGTGCAGTACCTGAAGTCATCCAGCCATATACACTTGCTGCTCTTTTACAAGGATATCAGTAAGTATTCGAGAAATATTAACTATTACGAGACATTTTTATATTTATTTCTTAGGTTTCCAAAACCTTCAGGTTTCAATTTGCATCAAAATTTACGCCATCAGTTGGCGCCACTGTGACATGAGGTCTTTTGTATCAAGTATTTGGCGCGAATTAGTCGAACGAGCATTTTAATTGAACCATAGACTATGATGACATACGTGATTTCATGGATCTACTCACCTTTCGTCTCAGTGCTGCCACCTGCTGCCCGTCATTCCAGTAGGCCTATTTGCTAACTGCTTTTAACAGATAGAAATGATGATCACCAAGCTATTTAGTGATACACTACTGCTTTATTATATAATGCCACTAAGATACTTGTTCTGTAAAGCATCGATGGATATACACACTGTAAAAGTGAAAAAAGTTAGCGAATACCCTGGCTGAAAACCCTCGTGAACCAAAACACCGTTTCAATTAAACAGACACTTATCAAATTGGACGACAACCATTTCAAACATTACTAGAGCAAATCTTTCTCGATATTTCAATATATCTATTCCTGGTGAACGTTGCCATGTGTAGCTAGCATTACCTTTTTTTTATTACGCAGGCAAAACCTATATTTACAGACGTTGGTGCCTTTAGGGGCACACCAACGAACGGACCTCACACCTAGCCTCTCACAAGTTTCACGGGTGCGAAACGTAGAAGCCGTTTAGCATTTCGCATTCCGCGCGATTTAAGAGCGCTTACGCTCTACGCTGTTAAGTGCGGAACCGCCAGATCCCCGTTGAGGGATTTCACCGCGTCTCCGCACCTTAGATAGCATTATCTATATTCTAATGTTAGGTCATAAAACGCGAAACTATAGACAAAACCGCTATAAAAACTCATCAAATGAGGGTGTTCTGGAAAATTTACGCCACCAGTTGGCGCCACTGTGACATGAGGTCTTTTGTATCAAGTTTTTGGAGCGAATTAATCGAACGAGCATTTCAATTGAACCATAGACTACGAAAACATACGTGATTTGATGTTCGAGTAGACCTTTCGTCTCAGTGCTGCCACCTGGTGCCCGTTACTCCAGAAAACCCCTAATTGACCCAAAAACTGTTTCAAACGAACAAATCCTCCAACAAATCTTTCTCATTGTTTCAACACAGAACTATTTCAAACGAAACTACTGAACCCCGATTTGGATGATACGGAACAAGAGTGTTTACACAAGGAAGCGTGCGAATTGTACCAGTTGTACCTCTCCCCGAATACTTCTAGCCGAGTGCCTTTAGACGCCACACTGGCGATGGAACTCCACCATCTACTTCAGGCATCAGACAGTATTAGCAGGTATGTATTATAGTTATTTTATTTATTTATTAAAAGGCTTACCAACTCAATAAGTAACGTGCGAGCGTTGTCCGAACGCTGGGATTCACCGCTGCCACTGTTATACTTAATACCAATAATTGAAACCCCGAATCACTATATCTCTAAAGAACATTATTCCTAATATTTGTAGCCTGAATTCACGCTATCACTATATATAACACTGTATACCTAATATTTCGATCCCGAATGCACGCTATCTCTAATAACTTTTAGGCGAGCTAAACTGTACTTCGGGTTAGGTTAGTGTTGTGACCATAAAACTAATAATAGAAAAATAATACCAATTCTAAAGTAATTAGGGATAGCGTGCATTCGGGATCGAAATATTAGGTATACAGTGTTATAGGTCTATTAGGCTGTGACACTTACGTAGTACATCCTTTAGGTCTATAAATAAATAAATATTTTCCACACACACCAATAAGCCTAGCCCCAAAGTAAGCATTGTAGGGCTTGTGTTAAGAGATGCTAGAGTAACGGATAGAATACATAATACTGATACATATATAAGTATATTTTATCTAGAAATATATATAAACTTATGACTAGGTATTCATATACTAACATTTGTCCTCACCGGGACTTAAACCCGGGAGACGGCCTCTGAGAAGGCGACACCATGGAACCCGGCGTATATACCACTCGGCACGGAGGTCGTCATCGTATTTTGGTCTATGGTATTTTGTAAGCGATTGAGTGATAAAGAAAGCCCTCCACTGACTGGTTTCCGTTACCACTTTAGTATGGCAATATACAAATTTAAACACACGACTCCACAGTACTGGTTTTGTTCGTAGATTACAAAGGAGTAGAGCTCTTTATATGGCAGCGGGGCAAGCTCACGCCGTCTTAGAAAAGGTTATGTTGCCAAGGTTCCTGCACAGCCAAGAGGTAAACTTAGAAATATTATTTTGAACTCTATATCTAATCACTGTAAGTTCTTTTTCTATCTGGTGATTGCGTCATTGAGACGGCATAGAACATTTGGACCTCATATAAACTTTCAAAACTCGTAACTTCAACTTTTTTTTATAAACGGTAGTTTGTAATATCTTTCTTTAAGGTCTAATTTGAATGTCGTTATAAAAAAATCTCAATAATAATATGAGTTTTTAAACTTTGTTGTGAAAACGTAACATCCTAGGAAAGCTAGAAATTAAATATACTTATTCAGCAAAGAAAATTTGTTTAAACTTTTTATTAAACTGATATGGTCATAACTGAATTTAGTTTCAAATGAGTAAAGATTAATTTCAGAGGGGTGGCAAGTAAGCCTTTTCTTATAGTAATTTATTTTTTATTTTTCAGTATTATGAACTCGTTATCGGGTCACGGACACCTACTGGTTTCCAGAAACAGATGACTAAGAAGTAAGTCTATGAATTGTTCTTCCTTTTATTTCCGTACACATTTTATTTTATAAAACACTTTTTCAACACATTTGCTCAAAACATGCATTTACGTAGGTTGTATACATTGTTCGGAAGCTCAAAAAAAGTTACGGGCCGTTTAGCGGAGCGTTAATTATACATGAACATTATACATAATTTAAGTAATGTAGCATTTTTTTGGCAAAATGGCATGCATTTTCACATGGCGCCACGTGCAGGTGGTGAAAATTAGAACTACATCTTTCGCCTCTTTTTATGGTGACTTATGGTGGTTTACGTGGAGTGCTTATTTTAAGTTGTTTTACAACTTCTATGTAGACGTGTTTAAAATGAATAATAACTCATAAGGAAGAAATGACAAAAAATAACCAAATGAAAAAATAAAAAAAGAAAAAATTATTTTAAAGAATCCAAAAAAAATCTGTCATTCTCTATACACGTAACCCAACAATCTCACGAAGTGTCATTAAAACATTCAATTTCACCCTATATAAGTATATTTATATAGAAATACATATTAAACATCCATGACTGGAGTACAAATGCTCGTATTCATCACATAAATATCTGCCCCCACCGGGATTCGAACCCTTAACCTCTCGAGTTGGCGACACCATGAAACCCGGCGTACAAACCACTCGGCCAAGGAGGTTGTCAAATTTTGAACTTTTGAACAATGTATACCTCCGTAAATGCATTTTTTTAACAAATGTGTAGAAAATTCTACTGAAATAACACTTTTCAGACCTCACGACAAGTTGTTACTGTCAGCCTTAAAACTAGGGAACAAGTTGAAGGGTGCTTTGAAACCACAAACTGCAGATGACCAAGTTATGGACTCTTTGGGAAGCGACGACTCGGCTGAAGACGAAAATATGGACTTAATGAAGTATTTGGACGCACTTTCCACTGAGGACGATATGAGGGAACACGATCTGAGCACATACAAGGTCGTACTTACTAACGTCGAAGCGAGATTGGTGAGATTTTAAAATAATTCTTTTAATATAAGCGCCACATTTTTATTCGTTCTTCATCAGCGTGTCCCATTTTTAATTATTATTAAAAAATTGAGACCTTATCAACACTCATTGATGGTTCAGTATTAGATAGCTCGTTTGCCACGCGTGCGGCTCGGGTTCGATTCCTTCCACTTTTTTAAGCTAGAGTAACATCAACTGAGTATAAAGAAGAACCTTGGGGGATTTTGTATAGACCCCGTCAACACCCTACAATACATTGAAAAAAAAATGTGTGCGTGTACTAGTGTACACACGTAAGAAGTGAAACTTCTTTAAGGCCTTATTTTTTTCGAAAAATGATCTACATGCAACTTTCCAGAAATATATACATATTTAGGCGTGCGCTAAGATTTTTCAAAAACTCACCCACTAAAGGGGTATAACTACACCTTACCTTACCTTACCTTACCTTACCTTAATACTTTCAATAGCAGAAATCGAAAAAGTTAAATCATGTACAACCACACAATATCTCCCAGAAGAAATAACGCTTGATACATTAGCCAACCCTTCTACACTACTTCACCCCTCTCTCCGTAACCCCATATCATTTAGCTCTGCGAATTCTCAGGAGGAACTCGACAGCATTCTATGTAACACAGCCACAATCGATTTACATATTTACATCGATGGCAGCAAACAGGACGATGATGTCGGCGCTGCCGTTGTCATTCAAGCACCTGACGGCCATGTGAGTAAAATGAAATATAAACTTCACCACTCCTGTTCTGTCTATCAGGCAGAGCAACTAGCTATCCTTAAAGCCAGCGAATTCATTGAAACTCAAGATTCATCCGCCTTTATCATCTCCGACAGCTTATCATCACTCATAGAACTACAGAACCCATCTAGTTACAATAGATTAACAGTCCAAACTTTTCAGCATATCCACAATATTGAGAGCGGAGGCAGATACGTAAGCTTTATATGGGTTAAGGCTCATGTAGGGATATTCGGTAACGAGTTAGCCGACCAAACAGCTAAGAAAGCAGCCCTCTCAAATATGCAACCTTCGTTTAAAAATTTCCCAATCAGTTACATCAAACAAATTAAACACAAAGAACTTGCAATAGCAAAACAAAAACTCTACGAAGAACCGCAAAATTGTATATACACAAAGAAGCTTTTCCCATCCTACTCAAATCTAACTTCTTTCCTTGCCAAAATCCCCGTCTCATTCCAAACAACCCAACTTCTAACCGGCCACGGATATAATAAACAGTACCTGCACCGATTCCATATAACACCAGATCCTTTCTGTCCTTGCGACAGTACCAGCCCTCAAACCTTTGAACACCTACTTTACCTTTGCCCGAGATTCCAGTCCACCAGGACTGATCTTAATATTTTATGCAGTATGCTCAATCTAAATATTAAAAACCTCAACGACATAGCTACAAAAAATGACACTAGTGAACTATTTTTAAAGCACCTATTCTACATTATTAAAAACCTCAAAAAATTCAATAACACGTAAACTAAGCCATATCAGAAAAACATAAACTCATATTATTAAAATCATAAAACACACTTAGTAAAACCCTAAATACTAATAACTAATACTATTTACTAAAACACATATATAACGAAAACTGAAATCAAGCTTAATACCAAAGGCGCAGTCCGTAAGCGCCCGCGGTATATTAGCATCTTCTTAAGCTAATCTCATATCAACCTACCTTACCTTACCTTACCTTACCTTACCTTACCTTAAAATTAATATAATCCAATGTAATGTAGGACGCAGTTACCAGTGGCAACACGAATTTGTACAATATTTTATGACTCACAACAAGTACTCAATAGCTTTAATAAGCGAACCTTATATAGGCAAAAGCAATTTTGTCAATAAAATCCCAGGATTAGATGTTATACAGTGCCCAATACCAACTACATTGAATAGTCCAGTTAAGGCTTGCATTTTTATTAAGTCCAAATATCATAACCCAATATTTATGTCGCAATTTTCAACTGCTAATATTACAACCATCAAACTTACCTTTAATAATAGAGAAGTTCTTATTTCTTCTGTATATGTAGAGCCTAACAATGATATTAACAACACACTAGACATGATCGACTACGTACTCAAAGCCAATGCGAGCAGGTGTTGTATAGTTGGCGGGGATCTAAACGGTTGGCACTCTCTTTGGGGAAGCTCCAGAGACAACCCCAGGGGGCGCGACATTGTTGGACTCACTTACGCTGATGACATGCACATATGTAACACTGGCAATGAACCGACTTTTGAAGCAGTCACAGATGGGCTGCTTCGGACGTCGATCATTGATATAACTTTAATAAGTGAAGAGTATCAAGAGATGGTCACACACTGGAAGGTTAACCGAGACGCTGCTCCATCATCTAATCACAATGCCGTTGAATTCAGTCTCACAGTACGGTGCCAAGAACCATCTATTCGCACTAACGACTCCACCTTTTGCTATAGAAGCGACAAGGCGAACTGGACCGAATTTCACCAAGTCCTCACTTCCAAGATGGCATCTAAGGGCCTTATTGAACAAGACATCGAAACAATGACCATTGAGCAAATAGATAACGCCATCGACGACACTATGGAAATAATCAACCATGCATGCATGAACTCTATGCCAGTTCGCAGGGGGCAACCAAAACACAAAGCTCCATGGTGGTCAGAACGGCTAGAGGAATTGAGAACAAAAACCCTCCAACTTCACCGCAAACTAAGTCAAAATAAGAAACGGGGTCTCCCTCTGGACGAAGTACTTGAAGAGCAAAAGATTATCAAAGAGGAGTACTCGCGGGAGATGAGAGAGACCTCAACAAAACAATTTCGGGAATTCTGCAACCGCCAGGGCAAGGAAAACGTGTGGGCTGTCACCAATCGGCTTCTGAAAACCGGAAAAGCAAAGACCACACCCGCTACACTTAAAATTGGGAACATCCACACGTCTAACGCGAAGGAGTCTGCGGAGGCACTTCTTGAACATTTCTATCCTGAGGACTCTGGTGATACACGCTCCAGACATCATCTACTTAGAAATACTGTGGACGACTTACCTAACAGCAACAATGACGAACCATTCACACAAGCTGAAGTTCTTGAGGCTATCGGACTAATAAACCCAAGCAAAGCGCCAGGAGATGACCTATTTACGGCGGACATCGTTTCTGCCTTCTGCCATGCATATCCAGCTTTCATTACTGACTTATTCAACAGGTGTCTAGCCTTACATTACTTTCCAACTTGCTGGAAGAAAGCAATTGTTAAAATCATACCTAAACCTAATCAGACAGATCCAACAGCTCTCACATCATACAGGCCTATTGGTCTTATATCAGTGTTTGGAAAACTTTTAGAGAAGCTTATCGTGTCTCGACTTGTGTTCGGCGCTGACAGTAGGAATCAGTTTAGCTCACGACAATTTGGGTTTAGATCCCAAAAAACGACAACGCAAGCCATCAGCACATTTATAGACGAAATTAAAAAACGCAAACAAGAAAAGGAACTTGTGGTCGCGGTCAGCCTAGACATTAAAGCAGCATTTGATAATGCGTGGTGGCCAGCTCTTTTCCACAGATTGAGACAAATAAACTGCCCACAAAATATTTACTTAACTCTCATAAACTACTTCGAAAATCGCATAGTAAAACTCACCTACGGAAACGCGATCGCCATCAAGACCATGTACAAAGGATGCGTCCAGGGATCGGTCTGTGGTCCTATAATGTGGAACCTCATCCTAGATGAACTTCTGGATCAGGTGAGTCTTCCCTCCGGCTGCCACCTCCAAGCCTTCGCCGATGACGTACTCCTTGTGACCTCTGCATCAGCTATCCAAGACCTGGAAGTAAAAACAAACACAGCATTAAACATCATTGATACCTGGGGAGAGGACGTCAAGCTGAAATTCGGTCCTTCCAAAACTCAGCTTGTCGCCTTCACCCCAGCGGCAAAACAAGCAAATATATACATGACAAATCAAAAACTGAACTTTGAGACCAAAATGAAATATCTAGGCATGATCATAGACGAAAAGCTAACCTTTAAGGAACACGTTCAGTATATCACGGAGAAAGCTCTCAAGCTACACAAACGCTTGAGCGTCTTCACGAGAGCCACTTGGGGTCCACATCCTGAAAATATACGGACTATTTACAATCAAGTAATTGTACCAATAGTAACATATGCCGCTGGTGTTTGGGGTGGAGCCGCCAAAAAAGAATACGTCCGCACGAAGCTCGACAGCCTGCAGCGACTTTTCGCGATCAAGGCCATCAGAGCTTTTAGGACCGTCTCCACTGTTGCGGCAACTGCACTCGCCCGCATGACACCTCTACACCTAAAGGTGGAAGAGGTCTGGCGCATTGAGCAAGCTCGCCTCACAGGAAGGACGGCAATACTGCCGGACGATATCGAAATGGAACGGCCGACACCCGTACACCAACTGCTACCGCCTCCCAATAGGATAACAGTTGAATACAAAATTGCCACCAACGATCAGGAAATCGACCGCATTTGCCCGCCAGGATCCACCCGGGTGTATACCGACGGAAGCAAACTTGACACAGGGGAAGTGGGAGCTGCTTTCGTTGCGTACCACCCTGAGCAGAAACATCCCCAAACCACTCGAAAATTCAAGTTACACTTCACGTGTACAGTATTTCAAGCGGAACTGCTCGCTATCCACCGAGCCTGTGAGTGGGCGCTGGGCTCCAAGTCAAACTCATACACCATCTTAAGCGACAGTATGTCCTCCCTACAAGCACTGACTGATCGCAGCAACACAAATCCTCAAGTGGCTCAGATACACAAAACCATACACACTGCAGAACTGGCAAATAAAACTATTTCCTTCATCTGGGTCAAAGCCCACGTAGGTATCAAGGGAAACGAGGAGGCCGACTGTGCTGCGAAAGCAGCTGCAACGCTGCACAGCAGATACAATTACGCAATGTTTCCCATCAGCTACGTTAAACACCAAATAAAGGAAGAAACACACAGTAAATGGACAGAAACGTACAGGGATACTGTCGGTGTTGCAGAACATACCAGAAGGATGTGTCCTGAACTGGAAGACGTCACAAAAGTGATGGAACAGTGTGGCGCATCCTTTTGGCTGTCTCAGGTCCTTACAGGACATGGATATCACCGGCAGTATCTGTGTAGGTTTAAAATCATAGATAATGACATTTGCCCCTGCAATAGCGGGGCAATTCAGAACATTGACCACCTACTATTCGAGTGCGGTAGATATGCAAGAATTAGACACGAATATCTTTCATGCTGTGATTTTCATAAATTCAACCCACGCAATATGATTGAAACAGCCTCAAACGAAAAAACCCGAGTAGCAATGCTCGAATTCATTAAGGGAGTATTTGGGACACTAAAGCAGTTCAATGGAACATAGCCATACTTGGCTGGGTAGAAATATATAAAATAACATATTTTATTAGTAATTAATATTGTATATATATATATATCAACATTATACATATGAACATATATATAATATCATATAATATCAAATATATAATCAAAAATACATACCCACAGTGAAACACGAATTAAACATCATGAACACCAAAGGTTTTGCTGTATCAAATCGCAGCACACCAAACCTGCAACCTGAAAAACAAACACATAATTATAATACCTTACCTTACCTTACCTTACCTTACCTTACCTTACCTTACCTTACCTTACCTTACCTTACCTTACCTTACCTTACCTTACCTTACCTTACCTTACCTTACCTTACCTTACCTTACCTTACCTTACCTTACCTTGTGTGAAACACGAATATTTGCTGTCGATACTTTTTTTTTTAAAGTTGACAGAAGAAGCAATTGTTCGGATGAGGTAAATAGTGCTCTTATAAAAAAAAGATGGCGCGTAACCAAACCAAAAAAAATGTGACGGTAAATTTTTTTCCAACGCCGATAAAGAAATTTCACTTCAATAAAATGATTCTTCTATCAGTAAAATATCCTATCATCAATATTTAATATACTTTCCCTCCATGTGGCAAACCCATGGGACTCCCTGTATATTTATTATAACGCAACCCCCACCCCGTCGCGGTACCGTCCGTTACTGTTTACAAATATAAGAAAATTATTTTTTATTGATTTTTCTTAATTTTTAAAATAGAAAGATTGCTGAATAGGCTTGTTGACACTTTTTGGAAATATGTTTAAAATGGTTAATAGTTGTTCAATTAGACCGAAAAAAATGTATTGTCTTTTATTTTGACCTAGAAAGCTACAAAACTTTAATTTTAAAATAGATTTTTCATGGACATATAAAAACGCTGGCGGCCATTTTAGTCTATAGATTATCTATGGTATGACGGCAACAAAATATTGATTACATGATAAATATAATAATTATCATGATTGTATTATGCGAGAATATAGAAACACATCATTAAAGACTCCATAAATGTTGTGGTTTAAATTTCCTAGAGAAATACACATACCTACATAGAAGACACATTTAAAACTTGCTAAATCCTGTAACTTTATCGTCGGAAAGTCATTTCTTTTAGCAAAGATCACTTCGATGTAAGTACTCATTGGTGTCGATTCTGCCATGATTCTCTAAATCTAAACTTAAATTTGACAACAGTGCATCCTTGTCATTCTTTATACAGAATGAAAAGGAGAGGTTGATGTTAAATTTAGTTTTAAATTTAGATAATCATGCTGGAATCGAAAATGACGTTTAGTTGTTTGCTAAGTTGTTGACGTCACAATTATGCTGGACAGCGTTTTTAGTGTTTAAAAAGCATGGACTAAAAACTATTTTTCAAATTAAATTACTACAGTCATCTTCTAATTTTATGAAGTGAAATTGATGTATTTAGGTTCCTCATGCCAAAAATTATAAGAAATGAACTTTTGTATAGTGCAATTTGACATGAGTCAACTAGCCTATTCAGATAAAAATATATATAGGTAGTTATAATTTTTATTTTTAAGCACGAACTTGCTCGCTGATTAAATTTAAAAAAATATGACTAGAAAAAAATCCACGCATACCAGGCAGCAGACGGGACTCGAACCCACACCCTTCGCTATCTAGACGAATGCACTGACCGCGGCCCTGACGGCCGTGTCGAATTCTTTCTAGCCTTTCTTAAGCGGTAGCATAATTGGTCGGTGCATTCGCCCGGATTGTGAAGGGTGTGGGTTCGAGTCCCATCTGCTGGCTGGTCCACGTGGATTTTTTTCTAGTACAATATTTTCTTTAATATATGTATGTTATTATTGAGGAGCTCGATGGTGCGGGTGGTTAGCGCGTTCGGCTGCGATCATTGAAGTTAAGCAACTTTCGCAGTGGTCGGTCATTGGATGAGTGACCAAAAAATCATCTCTAGCTCCTCCGTGTTTCAGAAGGCACATTAAGCCGTTGGTGCCCGCTGCATCTGCAGTCGTTAGCTCCCGCGTATTCGCACTGGGCCCGCGTGGTGGGTCATGGCCCAATCTCCCTATTGCATCCACAGGGAAGGCCTGTGCCCCAGCAGTGGTGACATTAGGACATTAATAGGCCGATGATGATATATGTTGTTTATTATAACAGCAACCCCCACCCCGTCGCGGTCCCGTCCGCGTGTTTACCTTAGCCGTGCATCGAACCGAACACTGCACCGGTGGGGCCAGGCTATGGACACTGGAACGGAGCGAACACGACTTCCATTTACTGAGAGCTAAACTGCACGAGTTCCACGGAGATAGATTGTTGCCACACCCGCCTCTGCCTTCCCGCAGGTATGTTAAAAATGAATGAATGTATGAGAATGGAATTTTGTCAAAAAAATAAATACAATTTAATTTAATCTTCAGTTAATTTATTTAACCATCTACAAAAAAAATCGCTATTTCCTAACTGGTTATGCAATAAGTTATTTTTCCATTTTCATAATTGGCTAAGATAAACAACTAAGTAAATTTAAAATAAATATATATTGGTGTCGATTCTGGCACGATTCTCTAAATCTAAACTAAAATTTGACAACAGTGTATCCTTGTCATTCTCTATATAGAATGAAAAGGAGAGACTGATGTTATATTTTGTTTTAAGTTTAGAGAATCACGCCAGAATTGACACCATTAACCAGTTAAAAATTTTACTAAATGAGGTGAAATTAAATCTTTACTACAAAATTTATAATATGACTAGCTGAGTCAGCGAACTTCGTATCGCCATAAAAATATGGGTGGTAGAAGGGTGAAAATTTAGGGTTGTATGTATTTTTGTATGATGTATCATAAAAAAAAAATGTCAGATTACAATACTCAGACCTGCTGAATATGCATATAAAATTTCACGAAAATCGGACAAGTCGATTCGAAGTTCAATTACGTACCCCGTGACAGGAGAATTTTATATATTAGATTGTTTTGATGTGTAGTATGGCTGCATTTTTTTGGATTCCTTTAATCTTTGTGAGTTTAGTTTGCGTGGGTCATTGACCTTAGAGTCGACTTACCACAGTTTCCTGCTAAGTTACTAGGAATCTGTCAATGCGCTATCTTCGTGTTTACATATCTTTATTAATATTAAATCATAATTTTTATAAAAAATTTCGTTTAAATGGAATAATTACTTAAAGAAAATAATATTCAACTGAGTATAATATTATTCGTCTGCCTGAGAATAAACAATGAGGGCTACCGTTTTCTGTCTCACCAGATGGCGCCACTGTTGAGTGAGGTCCTAAATTGTAACTTTTAAAGTTTATTAATACGCACATGAAATCAAAGGTTACATTTAGATCGTATTTTAACACAAAAGAACCATATCCTAAACATAATAGGCCATGCCACAGTGACGCCCAGATCCGTTTTATTCGGAAAAAATGGGTACATAATCATTTTTCTAAGCTCAAATTTTTAATAACTGACATTCATTGCCACATAACTCATATTTGCCATAATTAAGCCGAATTGTTACCAATTATTCACAACATTATTTTAATAAGAAATAAACCCGCGTAGTCAACCAACAAGCAATAACATTTGACATTTCGGAGACCTCACGCTACACTAGCGCCTCTAGCGGCGGATTCATACGCGATAGCCCTCATTGCATAATTATATAATTAAGTTCTCCCTTACACTTTAAAAAAATATAAATTATTTTCATTTATCAATGAAGTCAGCAAAAGTAAAAGTGAATTAAATTGAAATGTAAATTCATTTCGCAGAGACAACAGCCCGATGGAGACTCTCCGTTACAAATACGAAGACTTCCTTCAGAGATTACTGCAAAAGAGTCTTTTACAAACCAGCGAGTTACTCCATTTATTCCTGACCGTTGACAATGACTTTTCTTTGGTCGTTCAAGCATCCACTATGAACGCTAGTAGCAGTGACATTGGGAATATTTACCAATCTGTAGCGCATAAACTGAGGAAGGAAAAGGGACAACATTTGGAGACGTTCCTGAGAAATTTCCTGGTGTCCAGTGACATGGATCGGTATCAAGCTTTGTGAGTTTATTTTTATTTTAAATCTTTTGTATGCTTAGCTTTTGCAGTGCCTTTTTATTAGGGTTCCGTAGCCAATTGCCAAGAATGGAACCCTTATGGATACGTCATGTCTCTCTGTCTATCCGTGTGTCACAGCCACTTTTTTCCGAACCTATAAGAACTATACTTTTGAAACTTGGTAAGTAGATGTATTTTGTAAATCGCATTAAGATTTTCACACAAAAATAGAAAAATAATAATTATTATTTATTTATTTATTTATATGTTTGGGTTAAACGTTACATTCGATTAAAGGTGGAGCCTCAGTCGTGACTGACAGCTATTCATATTTAATAATCTATTTAAAATTTGCAGCTGCTGTATATGGCAACTCTTAGAAAAAGATTTGTAAAACTAATTTTATTAAATATCGCTCCTTCCTGTTTAAGAAAAAAAGGAAAAATAGCATACAGAAGATGGTCACTCAATCAATCGCGATAATTTCACATTAAGTGAGAACCACAATTTATTTAAAATATAGGTATGACTGAGAGAGACTTTGGATATTAATCCAACCATATTGCACAGGAAACATGGCACAGCGCGTGAAGTGGAAGAAGCTCAAGAAATCAGCGAAGACATAGAAATTGAAGTGGCTGAAAGGCCTCGGAACACGAGGAATTTCATAGGACCAGTGTTCGGGGACAACTTTGGAATACAATCTGTTGTGAACGAAGCCAAAGAGAATGTACATCAGACGACTGTCGTGGGATTCACGCGGTGTTTTATGTTTTTGCGTAAGTTTTGAAAGAATTTTAGTTGGTAATATTGGTTATGGTTTAGAGATATATTTTTGAATTTTTAAGCATTAACTGCTAGATATTTAAATCTAAAGAAAAGTTTACTAGAAAAATATCCACGCGGACCAGGCAGCAGACGGGACTCGAACCCGCACCCTTCGCTATCCGGGCGAATGCACTGACCATTATGCTACCGCGGCCCTGAAAGCCGTGTCGAATTCTTTCTAGCCTTTCTTACGCTGCAAGGCAGCAGCGCCATGCTGAAAACTGCTTATATTTAAAGATTTGGACAAACGATTTAACAGAAAAATAAAAATAAATTTATTAATGTCTTTTCTCCATTAAACCAATTAAAGTTGAATTTATTTTTAATGATTTTGAATTTACCGCCTAAACGCTCGGTTAGATGACGTCGGCTGTGAAGGTCAAATTATTAACTTTTTTTACGTTCGAGATAAATTTATAGTATAATACTTACACAAATTTTTTGATGTTTTGAAACTCTGTAGCACAGAAATCAGGATTAGTAGCGAAGAAATTTGCAAAGTATTATACTATAAATTTATCGCAATCGTAAAAAAAGTTAATAATATGACCTTCAGATGATTACATAGCATACACAAAGTTGACGTCACACAGTAGACGTTATCGAACCGAGTGTTTTGGCAGTAAATTCAAAACCATTGAAAATAAATCAAATTCAACTTTTGATTGGTCTAATGGAGAAAAATAAAGACATTATTTTTTTTATTTTTCTGTTAAATCGTTTGTCCCAATCTTTGAATATAAGCTGTTTTTAAAGAAAATGGAAAAAACCCTATTATAATATAAGTTACAAACAAAAAAATGTATAAGTTTTGTTATAGTTACAAGTTTTATTGAAAGAATACCAGAATACCAATGAAAAGAGACCCCGACTCCTTAAAATATCGGATTAACCTGTGTATTAGGAGCCATCGTCTTCCTAAAATGACACTTAGCATGGCAATTTTAGATTATGAGAGTTTAACTATTAATTTAAAATAAACAGCGTAAACTTTTACACAATTTACATCCCGAATCGCCAACATTGCACAATGCTTAATAAATATTAAAAAAAAAATAAGATTGACATTTGTTTCTAAGTTTTGACGCATTACTGCATCTGCAGTCGTTAGCACCCACAAACCCGCACTGATCCTGCGTGGGTGGGTCATGGCCCAATCTCCCTATCCCATCCATAGGGAAGGCCTGTGCCCCAGCAGTGGGGATATTAATAGGTTAACAATAATGTAAAATAGCTTTAAAAAAAACGCAATTTTAACGCGTTTAAAAGTGTTATCTATATACAGGTGGTCCAATTAGTGACGTAAACATTTTTTTTAGAATCCTCGCATCTGGGTGTATCCGAAAATACACCATGTATATTCCGCGATTTTTCTTTGTTTTCCAGTTATATTTTTTTTGTGTATTTTTAATGATTTCTGCCAGCGAGGTTTCAAAAATTCATATCTTTTTTCGTAGTTATTTAATTTTCCCATATAAACTGTTCTATCTTCTTTTCGTTTAACGTCCGTCCCTTTTGGTACGGTAGACTCTGGTACGTCATTTTTTCCAAATTATTTTAACCAGCACGAAGTACGCGGGGTCAACTAGTTATTTAATAAAAGTGTATTTGCCAGTGGTGAAGGTTCTCCGCGTTCGGGGCGTGGTGTCGGCAATGGCAGGCAGCGTTCTGGGCATGACGCGGGATATAATCGACCACGTGTTCGATGCCTGTCTGAACAACGTGCTTTATAGGGTGCTGTCAGAGAGACGGCTCGCTCATCTCATCAGGTTGGGGCACGGTGAGTGTATTTAATTATTAATTCAAACGTCTAAAGAAAATTTTAACTAGTAAAAATTCCACCAGGCAGCAGACGGGACTCGAACCCGCACCCTTTGCTATCCTGGCGAATGCACTGAATATTATGCTACCGACGTCACACGCCAGTATACTTTAGGCCAAAGTGACATTACATTGTATAGTTTGACGTTTTAATGACATTCGTGTGACGTCACACACCATAAGTGTGACGCCAATGGGTGTATTCCGAAATATACACCAGTACGCTGGCCTGCGGTAATGACGTCATGATTTCGACGCCATATTGCACTGGTGCGCCGCCATATTATGCTGGTGAGAATACTGTGACGTAGCCGGGTGTGCTCTGCAGTTAGTGAAGTTCTTTTTTGTATTAAATTGATAATAATGGAAAGAGGAGCTCGATGGCGCAAGTGGTTAGCGCGTTCGGCTGCGATCGTTGAAGTAAAGCAACTTTCGCAGTGGTCGGTCATTGGATGGGTGACCAAAAATTTACTATCTCGAGCTCCTCCGTGCTTCGGAAGGCACGTTAAGCCGTTGGTCCCGGCTGCATCTGCAGTCGTTAGCACCCACCAATCCGCACTGGGCCCGCGTGGTGGGTCATGGCCCAATCTCCCTATTCCATCCATAGGGAAGGCCTGTGCCCCAGCAGTGGGGACATTAATAGGCTGATGATGATGATGAATGGAATCTCAACAAACAGAAAACTGAATTAAAAAGAAAATTGTAGGTTAAAAATTATTGAAAGTTACAAACACGAGACTGCTTGAACATAGCGCCAGTTAATGACGTCAACGCGCTGATCAGTGTATTTGGAACGAATCAACAGCATAGCGTCGATTCATGACGTCATTACCGCTGGCCAGCGTACAGGTGTATATTTCGGAATACACCCATAATGTTCTCTCTTAGAGATAAGCCCTCCTTTGCTCACATATTTATGTTATGTATATTACAATTTTCGTGTGCAATAAAGAGTATAATAATAATGTCCAGAGAAAAGTTTTCGCGGCAACTTGAAAATTGAATATGTTTTTTACCGAATTACACAACAGAATAGAAAAAAAATGGATGCGTGTAACTTATGTACGCGCGTGAGAAGTTATACTTCTTTAGCATCATTAAAAATATTTTTAATTGCATGCAAATAATTAATAATTACAATAAAATAATAAAAGGACTGGAAAAGGATAGTTAACACAGTCAATTAAGTTCAGTTTTAATTTGAAAAATTAAATAAATATTCAAAATATTCAATTAAAATCACTACTGAATTTAAGTTATTAGTCCATATGTAATTAGCACTTGTAAGTAACTAAAACACGTTGTGTCTATATAGGAACTAGAAACATGTGGATAAATATTATAAATATGAAAACAGTGATCAGAGGCGACGAGCGTGCCAACGTTGTTTTTGACAACGCGATCATCTTATGGAGCTCCGTGGATCGTTCAAAGTACCTTTCGAACAGATGTCTAATAATGGTGGATTATTAACCACTAAGTGGTGGTGATTATTAGACACTAACATTCATAACGCGCCCGCGGCCAACTTCATGGTGTTACTATAGTGTTACAGTGATGCGCGCGTATCTCGAAATTTCACTCACATGATTTTTTCATAACGCGCCCGCGGCCAACTTCATGCTGTTACTTTTGGGTTACAGTGATGCGCGCGCATCAAAAATTTCACTCTCATCATTTTTTCATAACGCGCCTAAAGAAGTATAATTTCAATAATCAGTTTTTATGGACTCAAATACCCTATTTTGAATGCTCCTAGGTGTTCTTTTCAACAAGCGTTCATCTCACGTTCGCTCCGATCCCGATAAGCAGCGGGAGTTGGCCCGCAGTCAGCTGATGAGAAGCATTCCGTCCGGTGCTGTGTTTATGCTGGGATCCTCTCTGCCTACTGCGGTGCAGAATGCCTTTGAGTTCATACAGAAACCACATCTTAATAAACATGTAAGTGGGTCAACATGTAAAATATGGTTGAGCGAAGCGATGGCTGGTTCATGCGTCATGCTCGTGAACGGGTGCTGCCAGCGGAGATGAGTCTGCCCTAAGTTCCTTGCCTATTAATGCCCACTGCTGGGGCACAGGACTTCCCTATGGATGGAATAGGGAGATTGGGCCATGACCCACCACGCAGGCCCAGTGCGGATTGGTGGGTGCTAACGACTGCAGATGCAGCCGGGACCAACGGCTCATCGTACCTTCCGAAGCACGCAGGAGCTCGAGATAGTAAATTTTTGGTCACCCATCCTATGACTGACCATCGTGAAAGTTGCTTAACTTCAATGATTACAGCCTAATGCGCTAACCACTTTAGCCATAGAGCTTCTCAAGTGAGTGGATCATTATTTAGCAGTCCAGATCATACCCTACACATTGCGGTACAGAATGTTTTTGATATCATACAGAAACCATTTCTCGTATAAAAATTGAGGAGAGCTAAGTAAATGCGAGAGTTTGAAATATTTTTTATTACTATGCGGAATAATAGACGCTTGCAATTTTCCTGAAAACAGTTAAACAGTTTCTAGATCATTACATAGGACTGTTTCGATGATGGCGCGATCTCGCGCGGAATGCGAGACGATTTGAACATCGATATCCCTTGTCTTCAGTACTTTAAGCACGAATTTTGAAAGATCCGTATTTGTATCGCCATTGTAATAATAATAATAAATATTTCCGACACTCACACCAATTAGCCTAGCCCCAAAGTAAGCACTATAAGGCTTGTGTTATGGGATGCTAGGGTAACGGATAGAATACATATACTGTACATATATAAGTATATTTATATAAATACATCACAAACATCTGCCCCCACCGGGATTCGAACCCGAGACCTCTCGAGTCGGCGACAGCCATGAAACCCGGCGTACAAACCACTCGGCCACGGAGGTCGTCAAATTGTCAAAGTTTCTATATAAACTAAGCAGCACCTCTACCGGATGTAAGAAAAAATTAGTTCTCGTAACGTACGTTATGGAGCTGCTGTTCAAGATTTCATACAAAATTTGACAATGATTTTCTAAGGAAAAGCTTTTCCATAGAAAATTTGACGTGGCTATACGAATACTGTCTCGCTAGTTGTTTGTGCTTGGTTACTGTAACCTTAGCACGAACCATTTTCGAATTCGAATAGTTTGCGAGTCTGAAATGTCATTGTCAAATTTTGTATGAAAACTTGAACAGCAGCGCCATATCGTACGTAACGAGAACTAAACATCAGTACACATTTGACAATGACAGTTTGAACTCGCAAACGATACGAATTCGATATTGATTCGTGTTAAGGGTACTAAACTTATTTGATGCGCGTTCACGCACGTCGACGCGCGATCATCTGAACTTTGCCTTATTCTGTGACAGTTCAACTACAAAATTGCGTTTTGTTATTGCTATATTGACGACATTTTGATGCATGTCGATTTAATATTAAATATATTATTTAATATCGAAAGTTGTGTATTGCTTATATTTTCCATCCTGCTCACAAAAATGATAAAATATTAATTCATATTTTTGTTTCAGTTGGTGTATAATTTATTGGACTTATGCCTCATCGAGCTGTTTCCCGAATTAAATGATTCAATCGGTCCATCGAAAGAACCAAAGAGTTAAAAACATCTGAAGCTATATATGTAACTAGGAGTAATGTCATAGTTATTAATTAGTACAGATCACATACGGACACTAATGCATTTAATATATAATGGTGACAATAATAAAGTACCATCTCATCAGTTTTTTTGCAGTTGGAATACTGAATCTTAATCATTAATAATATTAAAAATGTTGGTAGTACCGGTACAATTCGCATTCATAATAGTAATAATTTCGAAAAGTTTTTACCAGTTTAGTCATACAGGCCTTACCACAGGCGCTCATAAAACTTTGATCTATTATCATTTTATCATTTTATAAGATAAGGAACTAAGAGTCGATTGAACACAGATAACTAGAGGTGCAGTTTTCATGCGAGAATTAGGATCAATGTAGTTATAAACATGCATGTAGTAAGACTGGATTGGTAAATTAGAATTTATTAAGCTTATATTAGAAACATATTGGTATTTTTTCTGGCATGTTTCCATAAACCTAAAATTTGACAACCAGTGTATCCTTGTTCTGTTCTTTACATAATGTAAAGGAGAGACTGATGTTGAATTTAAGTTTTATGACAGAATCGGTACCATTAAGTTTCTACAAACCACGACTTCACAGAAGTAGATGCTTGTTTCAGCAATACTACACTTTAAATATAAAACTTGTGATCATAATTTTTTTCACGATTGTTAAAAACTAAAAAGCCTAAAGCCAACTGCCACTTGTGAGCTGGTCATATTATTTATTGTGAATACTATAATTAATGTAACAATGAATATATTTTTGTAATATTAGTTTAAATCGATATTCATGAGTTACACTTGTGGTGAAGGGTATTCAAGACCACAATGTAATGAGTAAATTAATATTTTTATCTCTTTACTTGTTTTCAGTATGATTAAAGCACTGAATATATTTATTTTGATAAAAGTTTGTTTTATTTTAACTTCCATTTTACCAAATTTAAGATAGGAAACGTAGAAACCTCGAGGTTAGTTAACGATATAGCATAAGAAAACGCCATTTGTAGAACCATCATCATCAGCCTTTCGAGTGATGACATAAGGAGCTGAAACATGGTCGTTGACTATGGGCCTCATAAGAATGCTCAGAATCGCACAGCATTAGAGCTGTGCTCAGTGTTTCTCTACGTGACCAAAACAAAAATAAGCAAATCCGTGGAAGAACTAAACTAACCGACATAGCTCAACGGATCACCAAAAGAAAAGGTGGGGCACTAAGTTCAGCGAACCAAACCAATGGACGTTGTAGTTCCAAGGTGGTTCAATGGCGACCTCGCACGGGGAAGCGCATTTACGGTAGACCCTTCAGTACTGGGGCTTACTGGTTGCGGAAAGCGCAGGACCGTTGTGTGTGGAAATCATAGGCATCGGCCAATGTTGATGATTTGAATGAATTTTGAATGAGATATACCAAAGTCCCACTTTGGTATTTCTTCTTCAAAATTAATTATACGGAAGAACTAACTCTTTCGATATGTAATAATTTTGAAAAAAAGAATCCAAAGAAAGTCATTCGATAGACGTTGTATGCGTACTGAGATAACAACATTCATCATAAATGGTATCGTAAAGAGCGGCGAAAATCATTCTTGCCCGGAAAGGCAAAAATTTCTGGATCGGGCCTTGAATAGAAAAACACTTATGAAATAGTACATATTTCTGCCTATAACGATTCATAGGGTGCAGACGGGCGGTATTTTATTTTACCCTGATAAGCAACTTCCCTAAAATTTAAGTAGTTTTCATCTACTAATATGTTAACTAGCAGTCAGGATTTTAATTTTGAAGCAGAGTCTTAAGATTTCCTTTTATGCGTTGCGTACAAAACGCAGACTTCGTTCTGAAATCAATTGTTGAACTGACGTGTATTATGCGACTTATACAAAAAAACATTTTGAGCTGTCGTAGTGCGACTCCTTACTGGTTTTTTCAATTTGGTCGTATAGTAGGAATTTGTATTGAACATTTATGAACGAAAAATCTCTAAAACAAACGTCAATTGGAATGTCATTTTATTTACAGTGGAAAGCAATAGGAGATGGGTGTATTGCTTTATGTTTTAGTTAGACGAAATAGTTTAGTAAATGAAAAATTAGAAACAGTAAATATTGATTTTAATTTCAAAACTTGTAGTGTTTAAACTGTACATAATTCTAGAGTGTGACTACGATAGTTATTGTGTTAAATTTTTTAAATAAAATCCAAACAATAATAAATGCGTTCGAGTTATTTGTAATGTAAACCAAAGATGATTGCATTGTAACAATTGAGATAGAGAAAAAACAAAGGTTTTGCCTAGCATTATACTGTCAGTGGTCTGAAAGGATGGCTTCAACAAAAATGCAATTTTATTTTCATGAACATGGATGCTACTGGTGATTGTTTGACCTGTAATTTGATTTGTATATCATCATTATGTCTTCTTCGCCGTGCCAAAAGGGCGGGATGCGTCTCAGCGAGGCCTTGGATAACATGCAGCTTGCCTACAATCCCATAACAAAGCAGTTGCATTTTGTTAGTCCTAAAATTGAGAAACCTGCAGAAGACATTGTTGATGACATAGACAAATTGTCAAAGAAGAGCAGTTTTAGTGATGAGGGAAACTTTTCGATATCTACTTGTGAGAAAAGTGATACTAGTGATTCTCCCAAGAGTACTTTGCAGTGGGGTGGTAGTGTCAGCGGACATCAACGTGGTAAAGATGGTGGATCGTTCTCGAGTACAGTCTCCAGCCTCTCTGAGTGCTCCCTTGGGTCCAGTGCATCGAGAGAAGATGACATTGGGGTTGACAATGTTGAAGATCAGACACAGTCAAAGCTGAAGAAAAAAGGACTCTCAGGGTTCTTTAGCAGGTAAGATTTTAATTTTATTATAAGAACACTTATCTCCACTCTTTTATTGAAAAAAATCTATTTACTAACATATGTTTGTAAAAGGCTAATGCTATAAATTTCAGTAAAGAATTTAACATACTTGGTTTCTTGACATTTTTAATATCATATGAAAACAAACATTAGTTTATGATGATGCAGAAAAATATACAAATTAGTTTGCTCTTGCCATTGTAACCATTAATTTTCATGTCAATCACATTCATTAGGTGAAGAAATTAATCTCATTTTTTGATATTTATTGCTATTATGTCTGTTTTGGTAGAGTAGAGATAACACTATGGAATATTTATCACAAGGTCAAAGACTAAATTGTAATACAATATCTGTCAAATTATGATGGACTAAAATGTAAAAAAATCATGTTCATTATTTTAATGATGTAAATATCTCTTGCTAGACAAAAATTAAAACAACAGTGGAAAAGCGAAATGGCATATATGCTACTTTGATGCTGCTTAAAAATTAATTTTGCATAAAAACTGAAATTAAGTTAATTTTTAAGCAACACCAAAGTGGCTTATAAGAGATTTTACTTTTCCACACTTGATAAGTTCAAAGGGAGATTGGAAAGTCACATAAAGAAACTGGCCAAAGAGCTACTAAATACAAGTGACTAGGTATGTGAAAGATGACCTTGATTAGAGAATTTAAATTTTATTTTCTCTCAATGGAATGTCGCTTTTTTGTAATCATGGAGAAAATCTGATTATGGCTAAGGAGCCAATTGCAGATTTGAGGGATATTATTTGCAAGGTAAAAAAAGGTTGAGTAATATTTGGATGTAAAATTTTTATTTTATTTACATTTAATTAAATTATTACCATCTTAATAATCATTGAGCAAAATTTCCATAGTGTAAAGATTATACGACAAATAATCAATAATATTATGTAAAATAAATAAGATAATAGATTGATAAGAACACACATATTGCGTGATTCCGTAGAAAACAGCTGCTTTGTCATTCGTATTTATAATTGAGGATATTTCTAATAAATTAATGAACATAATATAATAAGCACTAAGCTGGTTTTCTCCTTTGGTTAAGTTACTCAAGTAGTATTTTGTAGTAAATAATTTATTACATTAAAAACAATAAACTAAAATACAGACACAACTTCATTCTTTAAAATATTTTACAAATTTTCTTTCTTCCCGTAATTACTAGGATTAATTCCTACTAATTCACAAGAGATATCAAATAATTTCTTTTGGTGCTCTACATTCTTTGAAAATTTATTACTGATACCTTCCGTACAGTTACTTATGTATAAACCACTTTTCTTCTCTAAGTCTTTGTCAAAGCAAGCGTGTAATATTGAGATTGCCCCCTTAGCAGGTGTCTTGAAGAACATTTTCATAGCCCATGGGAACACTCTTTTGAATAGGGTTCCCTCAAAAAGATCGGTATTGACGATTCCAGGGTGCACTGCATAGCTTTTTACCAAGCAGCCTTCTTCTTTAAGTAGTCCATTTATGTATCTAGCGCTCATTAACTGAAATGCAAGAATAAAACATTAAAAACATTCACCAAAATATTATTATTATAAGTAGATTATAAAGATGAATAATTTTCACCTGTGCTAATTTAGACTGTGCATAAGCAGCTGTAGTGTCGTAACAGTTTTTCATGTTAATGTCTTCAAAAAATATCTTGCCAGGATAGTGGGCACAAGAAGTAACATTTACAATCCTAGAAGATTCCCCAATTAACCCACCACTTTTTAAAGCTGGCAACAATAGATGAGTCAAATAAAAATGACTCAGATGATTGACAGCCAACTGTGTTTCTATACCATCTTCAGTGAGCTTGAAATCCCCAAACATTATTCCAGCATTGTTGACTAAAATGTGAATTTCTGGATACACTTTCAAAACTTTTTCTGCAAATTCTTTTACAGATTTCAATGATTGTAAATCCAATTCGAAAGCTTTCAAATTATTTCCGTTTTCCATGGATTCTGCTAGTTTCTCGACCAATTCCGGCTTCCTTATTCCCATAATCACAGTCATATTGGCTTTCAACAACCCTCTTATCACTTCAGTGCCTATACCCCGCGCGCCTCCTGTGATAACGGCGATTTTCGTTTTCGCATCTGGCAACACTACTTTGTTTCTTCTGACGTTCACCCAATCGTCGATCAAGCCACCGACGCCCGCTCCTTGCATGTCAATTGTGTATCGGAGCTCACTCAATATGTGTTTTAGAGGCTTATGCCTGTTCATGTACCAATACACGACTGCTGCTGAAGTAAACACGGCCACAGAAACTATCACTAAAGACATAGCGAGGTTATGTTTTCGTCCGCACGACACAGCGCGACTCGAACACTGACTGTCTGCTTTCACTCCATTGGAAATCCTCGACGCTTTCTCCCGGCGTTCAGTTAATATACTTAAGGTACCGTTAGATGGAATACTGTTTGCCTTTTAACATTAAAACGTCACAGCACGAACAGATGTTTGTGGATTTTTAAAAACATCTCGCTGCAAGCGTGTTATCGTCGTTCAGCCTTGTAACAAACTGATTGAACTGAAGCGTGATGTAATTTTTTGTTTGACTCCATTCGTGTACTGTGGCCGAGTGTAATGAAAATTGTCTATCGTTTATTAATTTGGCAAACTCAGTGAATAACTAAGGGGAAGGGATTGATAAAGGGAGCTACGTTGCGCATGCGTCATGGCGTGTTTATCGTTTGGTGTTCTAATAACGGCAGCACCACGTCATACATATGTATAATTGTAATTTACATGTTTTATTGAGTGGGCTCAATTAAAATAACAAAATAAAACCTATGAATGACCGCCATAGAACTACTAAAATCTCATTGTTCTAATAAATAAATCCCTGGTGGATCTTATAGCTTCCATTATAAGATTCGAGACAATCGTTTTATCTTATTGTTACCCGGATGGCGTTATCTCTTTTACTATCGGAATTGGATAAGCTTTAAACTTGCTCCTCTCGCAGCTGTGATTTTAATTATCGGTCTTTGAACTACCAGTATCTGCCGTGAGGCGAAGCGTGACGTAACGCCAATCACAGCGCTTGAGCCTTTATATTCTGTGACGTCATAAACAACATGCATTGCTAATGAGATGCCTGCTCAGTGAACGCAACGAACGGTAATCGCAACATTATCATCTTCTTATTATCATTATCACTCGTTTGCAAAATGATCAGCCCCTTGTGGGATTTACGCAAGCTTCGCTGTGACGAAGTCGTTTTGATAGCATTGTTTTCTGATAAGCTGATTTCTTTATCTCGTGATTAGGAACGTTATTGAGTTCTTTCCATTCATTGGCACGCAGGTAGTAAGTAGGTGTAAGTTTGCGTGGGAACAGAAACGAAGCCGGTACGCCAATAAGTCATCACGGACGTCTTACTTTAATATCGGACTAGGTCGCTGAAGGACTGGATTTTTGTAAATTAATTGAACGCGGTCGCTGAAGGACTGGATTTTTGTAATTTACTTTAGCGGTAAGTGACAGAAAAATGTGAGCAAAGGAAGAATCGATGTATTGATGTCTTAAGCCTCGATGAAAACTCGCCCCGTGTCATCGATGCTTTAGGTAAATTCAATACTGTCGATTTTTACAAAAACCCAATGTAAAAACACAAGCAAAGAATAATGACAAAAACCGCTCAAACTGTGTTTCTAGATATTTTTAAACGTATAACGTGTATAGGTAGGAGGGTACCGCATTTTTGCCATTTCCGTCCCAATTCCCAAAACTTACTTCACGTGGCCATGGCTCTTTAGCATAAAAAAAAACACCGTTAGTTCTACGAATATTTTAACAATCATAACTAAATCGCTGAGTTAACCAATCAATAGAAGGACGGTGGATTTTGTAATGAACCCGTAGGCAAAAAACTGGTTTTATGTCGATAAACAAGAAATCAACGTTACTCCAGCTTACGTCAGGTTATTCTCTTCCGAATGCATAGTACACTTCAAAACATTTTGATTACAAGAATACTATGGTGTTGCCGGCCTAATGACAGAGATTGGATAATGACACGGTTTCTTTAGAAATTCTCCGGTTATTTATAATACTCAATAGCACACTTATTAGCTTCAAACCGGTTTTGGGTATGCAAGTGGTGTTGGCTGGTCTTTATTTCGAAAACTTTAACAATATAAAATGTTAGAATTGAAATTCTTGCTCTTCAAAGCTTTCGTGGCTATTAACTTTGCTGTATGTTTAAAACATCAAATTGTCGTAAAACTTAAATCGTGTTATTCACAATTCGATAAGAAACCGTAGAGGAAAAGAAATTGAAAAGTTTGTGATGGTGTGGCATAACAAAACATCACAGATATGAACTGTGTCAAGCAGCTTAGATGAATCTATCTGGTGACTATAGACAATTAAAAGATTCCTCATAAGTGTTTGCAGGTAAAACCACAACAATTAAGTATCAGTTTACGCGGAAAAATCATCAATTTAATATAATAGAAACATTCATAAATCAACCATTATTAGTGTTCGAAGGCGATGCTGTCAAATTTTGCTTTTCAGAAGCATTTTCTCCGGTTCTTGTCATAACTAGAATCTTTGCCAAAAGAAAAAAGTTGTAAATGTGGATGACCAATTGGAATTTGACACTAATAGAAAGTTGAAAGCATAAAATTTTAAATACCTAGAACGCTGTTGCAGAATATATTTAACAATAGTAACAGTAACAATATAATATTTTGTAAATATTGTTAAGTAAATAATTTAACGCTGTGAAGTTTTTTTCGCCTGTTTTTCTCCACAGTTAAAAAAATGACCTTAACTGGTGGTAGAGAATAAAATATGGACGATTCAAAAGAGTTGTATTTTGCATCCAATTTGAATAAAGATATTTTGACTTTTGACTTTTTGACATTTCTTTGTTTATCTTATACAATATAAGATGTAACTAAACTTATTTTGATCAAACTACTACGAAGCTTGATATATTTAAACAAGCTTTGTGTAAATCTTAGAAGATTTTGGTACTTTGTTATTGCGTTTTTTATTTTGAATGCAGCCAGTATCTACTTGCGGGCCCCAACTATAGTGAGTGCTCGTTGCACAAACACAATGGCCCATTCCCTGCACTCGCCTCTTGATCGGGAAACCAGTTCTCGAGGCAAAGCGGCTTACACGACGACCTAAACCTTCACCAATGTACTATTGACCTTTGTGTAGAAACGGGAATGCGGCGATTCAATGCTGCATCTTACATTGAGTCTGAGAATAAAGAAGAACTAATGCTGTATTGGTTAAAATACACTTTAAATTATGGCCTATTGAGTAATATTGGGCTGTTCTTTTTTAATTCTTTGATGATAATAAATATTTTACGGCCAGCAGGATGTTTGGTTTAAGTGTTGGTGATAATTTTTACGAGCAGCATGTCAATGATTGTATTTGTACTTCGCGATAAAAAAAACCCGGCCAAGTGTGAGTTTCTACCTTCCGTACAAAGGAGACAGTTAAAAAGTGGTAAATAAACTGTTTATATCATTTGAAAGCTTGTTTTATGTAATAACATGAACAGATAATTATATTTTTTTATTTATCTCCGATTAATTTTCGTATATATCGTGTTTGAAAATTTAACTATTTCGTAAGGATGCTGGCTACCCTGTCTTAAGTAACGTCACATGTTTAGTCTGTAGCAGTATATTATTGTCAACTCAATCACTGTAAAATGTCAAGCAGTCCAGTCATGCCCAATATTCGTGATTTAGTAGTGAAATCAAAGAATTGAGTGAAATTATTATACTAATTTTTGATTTATTTTTCTCGAAATTCAATACCGGATCGGAAATGCTCCAGGAGCGTCACACGCGACAATATATATATACACATACATAAACATATACAATACAATACACAATTCTTTATTGAAAACACCACAGTATAGTACATAAATGGGGTAAATACATTATGTTTAAACATAGTGATTCAATGGGCGGTCTTATCGCTAAAAGCGATTTCTTCCAGACAACCTTTGGATGGAGAGGATTGAAAGAAACTGGAATCGGTGGTGTTATAAAAAAATAAAAACAAGGGATATAAAAATGTATATAACTATATATTTTAAATATATGTACATATCATACATACATAATATATACACATAATATAACTATAAGATATATACATATAATACAAATATATGACACATACATACATAGACTACACATATATAAGTTTAGTCCAGTCAGAAAAAAAAATATTAAAAATAAAAATGAGTGATGCGTGCGCTGCTCCATTCCCCTATACCTTATGCACCGCCTAATGTTAGGTTATTAAAGAAAAGAAGTTTCACTTCAGGTGTGTGGTCTACACGGAACCCTAAACTACATCAATCTTGTGATGTGACGAATTGTTTACCGTCTCATCATTAGATTTTACTCGATGTAATCCATATGTAACGTGGAGTGGACAGACAGCTTGGCGTAGATGACGTAACATCTTACATGTGCTTTTCGCACGCAAGCTTGATGATTGCGCTGGAATAAAACTGAAACTTGTCAGGTTTCGTCATATCAGATGAGCGTCCATTTTTTGTTTGGCTTCCTCGAGAGGAAAAGTCAGTCGAGTGCAAAAAGCAAGCCCCTTTTAATTAATTACATTTGAAATTGTTGACACTGGCGTCCCTTCTAGAACCGCTACTTTTTCTATTCCTTTTTAGAACGTGGATTTGATTGACACATTTATCCAGCTATTGACTCAACATAACATGGATTTATTTCAAGTTACCTACTAAAAGTTGTCTGGAAGCGGTAAAAGAACATAATGCAGATATAAAATGGGCGCGGAAATAAGTCTGCAGTGTGTGAACATGCATTAGGGGGAACAAAACATTATATTAGATTTCATAATTTTGATAAACTACAGATCCTTGCAACTGAACAACGATTCATTCCTATGATGATACGCGAAGCTATTGAGATTAAGAAACATCCAAAATTTCAATAGGTAAGATGGTTGGTATATACCACCAGTTTGGGAACCCATTATACAACAGATAAAATCCCAACCCCGAGCACACACTGCAAGACCAACAGATACTATTAGTTCCTTTGTTCCTTTTGTTTGCGCGATTTAACATAAGAAGAGGACAAAAAGCCTCTCTGAGTTTGTTTCGCCAGTTCTTCTCAGAAAGGTCTCCCAATTTTGGAACAGAGAGTGAGAGGGAGAGAAACATATTTGGAACTGGTGGTAGTTAGGTTCAAATA